AAATTATTATAAAAATATATTAAAACTTTTATAAAAATTTTTTAATGATTTTATTTATTACTGATAAATTTTTTGCTTGTATATTAATAAAAAAAAATTTTTAGTGCAGCTTTTTCTGAAAAAAAAAAAAAAATATATTCATTAAAATTTATGACACTGAAGTTAGCAGACGTCTAAAAATTTATAATTTTTTTTATTTATTAAATTACAACTAAAAAAATATTTTTTAAAAATTGCACTTATAGTTTTTCAAGTTTTTTACATGTGAAATTTTTTTTTTAATTGTTTAATTGAAATTTTTTCAATAAAAAATTTCTAAAAATTTTGAAATGTCTGCTAACTTGATTTTCATTAAAATTTTGATAAAAATTTAATAAAAACATTTTTTAATGATTTTATTTATTACTGATAAATTTTTTGCTTGTATTTTAATAAAAAAAAAACTGTTTAGTGCAGTTTTTTCTGAAAAAAAAAAAAAATATATATATATTTATAAAAATTTTGTAATGATTTTATTTATAACTGATAAATTTTTTGCTTATATTTTAATAAGAAAAACTGTCTAGTCATAATTATTTTCTGTCTGATAGAGAGTTTTAATCGCAATAATTCTGATAATTTTTCTATTAATAACATCAGTATGTTTTAATACTATAAAGATTAAAATATCATATTGATAAAAAATTAAACATAGTTTTATTGAACAAAAATATTGAGGATAAATATGGAGTAATATTTTTTGATAAATTTAAATTAAAAAAAAATTTTTATTTGAAAAAAAAAAAATTTCAAATTGATTACAACAATTATGAAGCTTCTGGAAATTAAAGTCCGTCTCATACTATCGCTCTTTTGTATTACATACATATTTAAACACTTAAATGCAGACTTATCAATGAGGCTAAAAGAATTATTTGCGTATATATATTTTTTGCAAGATTTTATTATTGCACACACATGATCACGGGCGTGTATTTGGTACGAGAAAGAGACGAGGGGAGAAAAAATTGCACGCTCGTTATGGTTGAAGGCAAGGGGACATATATTAATGCCAACATATCGTGTTACTAATATTAAAATATATATACATACACTTATGTATGTATATTTGTACATGGATGCATTTATAATAGTTTTATAGTGCAGTTGCAATATAACTCCGGCTAGCTGCAAGTGGAAAATTATCTGATTATTCGCGTGCAACTCCATTGATTTTATGTCTTACGTCATTGCATTGTGTAACAGCCTTCTGACCAAGAACTCACTAATATACCAGCATTGTGATGTATAGATATACAGATGTAGATATGTGCACATGTAGAAGAACTAGCTAGCTACTATATGTTCATACATTGGTACTGAGAAAGAAAGAAAGACTGAGAAAAAGAGAGCTACCGAGAATGCGCGTGTTATTTCGTGGAATTCTCATTGGCTCTACTTTTAACCTCATGTTTTTATAATATACCTCCATATTAATCCTCATTATTTATAACTTGTGCATTAGATATTAATGAAATGGTTTTTTACCTGGATTTCTTTGGAAATCGGCTATTGCACAAAATTTTATGTTGCAATTATATTACATTATATGCACTTGGATGGCTAAAAAAAAATGATTTTTTATGAAGAAATTTTTCTAATGATTAATATGAAAATTGAAGTTATTTTTTTTTTAATCAGCTGTAAAAAATTTTAGTAATTATTTACAATTGGAGTCAATCATTTTAATTTTTTTTAATAAAATTTCTATTTGATTTTATAGATATATTTTTTTTTTTGATACATAAAAAAATGAACAATTAAAAAAAAAGTTAATTATGACAATTTTAACAAATTTAAAAAAAAATGTATATTAAAAAAAGATAAAATATAAATTTTATCCAAAAACATGAGAGCCAAAATTTTTTCTAACTTTTAAAGGCAAAAAAGCTATAGAAATCTTCATTTCTTTTTTCACAACATTTTTTATCATAAAAGCAGAATCAAAAAAAAATTTTTTAAATGTTAATTTTTCTCCTAGATATGGCCAAAAATAAGCTGGACCCTACTTGTAAATAATTACCCAATATATTTAATATTTATCCCAAAAATAATTCAAAATAAACTCCGTCGTATTTGGTCAAAAAAAAAAAAAAAATAAGTATCTTATTAAGTTTACATATTAAAAAAAATGTATTAGCATTAAGTAAGTAATTACAAGTAAATAAAAAAAGTAATTAGTAACTTAAAAATATAAAAAAAAGTTAATTTTTCACCTCGATATGGCCAAAAATAAGTTGAACCCCATTTGTAAATTATTACCAAAATTTCCAGGAGATCCTTTAAAAAAAGTGTCTTGCTTAAGCACAATATCAGTTTGAATTATCAAGATTCAAAAATCCAAAAAATTCTGCTTACTTATAATATTATATTATCTGATCATTATTTAAAAGAATTATCAACATATCTTTTTTTTTTTTAAATAAAATAAAGGCTTGATAAAAAAAATTGATTTTTGATAAAAATTTTACCTTTAAATTGCTGATAGAAAAATATTTATTAGAAATATTAATCCTTAGATCACTTACTAAAAAATATACTCCAAAAAAATTGTGCTAACGCTCCAGCAATTATAATTATACCTTCTAAAAAACTTATCCAATTGACATAAAAATTTCCGTGTATATATATTAAAATATATGGACATAACAAAATCAAAATAAAAAATAAATATATTTTTTAAATCAATTCTAATTACATGAAAATCCGCTCCAAAATTCTTCGCCTAAAAATAAATCTCCAATAAAAATTCTAAAAACTCAACCCATAAAAATTACCACGGACAATCCAAAAAAACATGATTATATGACCGTGATCGTGACTGGGCAGTCTGGATACCCTGAGTACTACAAACCCGGTTGGTTTTACACCCAACAAATCCTGTTGGTGCTCCTATATACATATACAGTATAATATCCCAAGTTGAGTATTAAAATGAAATGCAAGGACTGGATTTTTCCGTATCTCGGAGTAGAGGTCGTGCAGCGAAAAAGCGCATTCACCGGTCCGGCTGGTGGCTGGTGGCTGGTCCAGTCAGTAAAGGCTCTCCTTTACTATCCTTCACTCCTCGCCGAGTAGAGCCTCCTTCTCTGGTGGAGCTCCAGAACTCCGGCTCGTGCGCACACGTGCAAATCATTCTCCATAAACACAACAACCAGGACTAACACCAACACCACCAGCTTTACAGTCTCCAGTGTACAGTCTACAGTCTGCAGGGTGCTCCAAGTAAAGGAGTGGTGATATGAGCTGAAAGAGAAAAAGAGAGAGTCAATACCGTGGAACAAAGGGGAGAGAAGCAAAGGGTGCTGGCGCACACTCTAGACTCTACTCATACATACCTAACCACCTATACATTAACCTACACTATCCAGACACTGCAAACTGCATTCTATTCTCTTCAACACATCCAACCTTTCCTTTACTTCGCATCATATATATATATATATACTTAGCTTCACGTACTTACATATACATTTTTACAGTTCTCTCACACACAGACAAAAGACGCTAAGCCAACGTCTGGCTGATAGATAGACGGTGGGTCGGTCGGTGGGGCTCTACTCGCCAGTCTGTCGGCTGTACTGTGGGCGGCGGGGGATGTCAGACAGTATTGCGGGCGCAGGACTCAACTGCACAACTGAGAGGCAAGGAGGGATCTGGCTGCTACACACACACACACACACTCTCTTCTGTCTGGTGATATTATCAACTTGTGTTAGTGCAATTACATATATATATATATATATACCAACCTTTGAATTAATACAGTAGTGGTGACATGACGGTGTAATGGCGGCCACAGCTTGAAAAATAAGAAGAAGGGGAAGTTGACTGTAGTGAGTGTGACAGGCATTGGATAGACGACGGTGCTGCGGCCTCGCAGCCACCGGATGAGTTCAGTCTGCCGCTGGACTTGATGTGCAATCAACGCCCACGCTGCAACTGTCACTTGCTCGTTACTCCCAGTTACGTTTAAACCCAGTACAGTGTGACATTTGTTACGAGCGGCTTTCAATCGACAACATTCCATTCCGGGTGTCGTCCGATACCAATAAAATAATATAAAATAAAACACCGGGTATTTTTTTTATAACAAATAAATAAATCTATTTTTTTAACTATTTATTTTGTTTGTAAATAATTAATTTAAAAAAAAATAAGTGAAGAAGAAAATAATTAGTGTTATTTTTAGTGAAGAAGAAGAAGAAGAAGAAGAAGAATAATTGTTTTAATTAAACATAACCTAAAAGAAGAAATATTCATTTAAAAGTCAATTGGGACAAATTCTTATCAGTGTTGGTTAACTCTTGCCAGTTTAGTAATAATATTAATCCAAAGATTGTATTATTGGGTAATAGTTACTAATAGCGACGACGACAAAGAATAACAAAATCAGTGATCTCGTCGTCTCAAGTAGCCTCTGCCAAACTTGGTCGTTAGAGTGTCAGAGTTACAGTACTTGTTCTTTAACCTCACAGCCATTCCACCTGAAAGAAGAAATAAATATTTATGTACATATTAAGAAACAATATCAAGGAATGATATTAAGTGAAGTTACAAGTGTGTGTGTTTTTTATATATACAGTGTACGCTGTTATTTTATTCTTAATCGGGCAATAAAATAGCAGAGAAACAAGAGAACGTCATCATTGACTGAAAATAAGAGACCAAGGGCAAACGGCGCCATGCTACTGGCTTGACAGCTGACAGACGCTCTGTTGCAACTATACTACTTCAATTTCTTCTTCACATCACATACTTTTATGTATTTACTTCTATTGATGCTTGTATGCAAGTATGCAGTGAGCGCTATTGTTGAAAGCTAAGGTAGTATTCTGGAATAAGCATTGAAAAATTGAGAAGAAAAAAATATAATATATTATATTTTACAACCAGCTACAAGTCCTGGTTGGTAATTAAGGATATATTCTAACCGTCAATCTGGCGTCATCATCATTCAAATGAAGCTGCGGCGTCGCTGCATTCAGACGCTAGGCGTCTCGGTTAAACAATTGAGGAGAAAGTTGGTCGAGTTGGGTGCTAGAATTCTCCACGTTCATCAGACATCCAAATCCAGTGACATGGCCCTAATGGTAGGTATTGATGAATTAAAAAATTTAATTTTTTTGAGGCTAATTAGAGTGTTTTTAGGTGAGATCTGGTTTTTGGGGCTTGATAAATAAATTAAACTGAGCTTTGAATCAAAAGGAAATTAATGTTTGAATTTTAGAAGCTTGGAGTTGAAAAGAAATATTTTTATTAATTGGATTCAAATTTTTTGGAGTAAATGATTAAACATCTGACCATTTTTTATTTTATTTAAAAATTAAATTAGTATTGTTAGAAAATTATAAAATTTGTCATTGAAAAATGTTTATTTTTTAACTTCAATATCAAGTTTCATTTTAAAAGTATTTCGGCGGTCTAATTAGCAATTAGTCTAATTCCTTATTTTTTAGAAGGTGATTTTTTAACATTTTAATGAAGCACTAGTCCAATTATAAATTATTTGAATGATCCAAACCAAAATATCGACGTTAGAATTAACAAATTGTCTAACAAATTATCACTTTTAAAAACAAATTATTATCTAATAGAATTTTATAATATTTTGGTTTGGATCATTTGAATAATTTATAATTAGACTTTTGCTATATCAAGATGTTAAAAAAACACCCTCTAAAAAATAAGGAAGACCAATTGCTAATTAAATAGAAGATATTATACCTTTATTAGATGTTAAATAGTTTTTTAAAGTGATAGTAAATTTTGAACTAATTGTTTTTTTGTGTAAATGGAAAAATCTCTAGAATGGACTTTATGAATTTTTATAAAAAAAAAAAATTTTTGATTGGAGAAAAAAAATTTGTAACAATTAAGTTTATTAGTTAATTGTTTGGATACAAGTTTTTAAATATTTCAACCCATCAAAATGATATTTAGAATTTTTTTTAAACAATCACATATTTTTCTTCTTAAGATCAGTTTTTCAATCCGGTATAAAATTTTATCCGACATAATTATTGTCAGTATATCTACCTAAAATATATAGATATATTTTAGCATTGAATAAAATTTAATCTCGGATTAAAAAACTGGTCTAAAGTTTATAAAAAATAAAATAATTTGAAAAAAATATTTAAGGATGTCAATTTTTCAACTTCAAAAATTTTTTTAATATAAAATATATTTTAGGACTCAAAGCTCTAAAATAAAAAAATTAAGTTCTCCAAATTTTCATAAAAGAATAATTAAAAAAATTTTATAAAACTAAACAACCATCAGCTCAAATTTTCATTAAAAAAAAAAAAATTCAAACTGCAAAAAAACTACATCTAACTTATCTCATAAACTTTTATTAATTTACATATCTTTATGATTCAAAAGCCGTACCCTAAAATTTTCCATTGCGCCTAACAGTGCTTAAAAAATGAAAACAAATATCTATTTGATATTTATCACTAATAACATCTATAAAACAAGGAAGAAATAAAAGCAACCTGTGCTAGTAAATAAATAAGCTATCAAAAAAAGGTTTTAATAAAAAGTAGAACGTAATCTTACCGGTCAGGTATTTTTTATCTTTCTCTACTCACATGTACAGACACGACATGAGTGTATTATTTAGAACACCTGTATTGGCAAACAACCGAGAAGCAGCCAAAGGGAAGAGAGTGGGACAGTCTTGCACATGGCTGAGCTCGTTGCACTTTTTATAGGCCATAAACGTCGGGTTTAATAATATTTTTTGTTGAGTTTGATGCAGCACTCATCCCTTGGCTCCCCCTGGAGGTAACCAGTACCGGGCACTAACTGCCCGAAGAAATCCGAGAAGAAATAATCGGGGAAAAAATTAAAAAGCGAGAAAATTTTCCCGACAAAAAACCCTTTGCCTCAGATGAGAATCTGTATGTGTAGATATATTTTACTGGTGGTTGTGCCATACACCCAGAAAAAATATAAAGGCCGTTAAACCTTATATCTTATATATTACAGCGTCGGCACGGACGTCTCGCGTTTCTTCCGTCTGGCCCAGAATGCGATTCCGTGGCTGCTTTCACTGCAGTTCATTGCGCTCGTCATGCTTGGGTCGTGACTGTCCCGACCGCGTTGCGCCGGTCGATATGGACTTTCAAATATTCTACTAGCTTCTTCACCCCATCTACGTCGTGTCTTTTCACGTGTACGTCTGCCACCGTCTGTCTATACATTCTATATGTCTATCCTATATACTTATTACTCCATACCGTCTGCAGACTGTCGGCTGTACTCTGCACTCTGTACTCCGGTGCTCACTGCACTCTATGTCCTCATATATATGTATGTGCATGTGCATGTTCTTGTTCATGTATAAGTAAAGCGTTGAATTGAACTGGAAAGAAAAGAACAAAATATAATAATAAAAAAACGCTGTTCAATTGTCTGATTAACATGCAGAGTGCATTGAGAAGCAAATGCATTCACAGCTCTTTCCCTTTCCTTACATCCTTGACACACTAGACATTGTGCACGTGGGAAAACTCACGTATTTATTTAAAAAACCACACACTAATAATAAAATATGGATAATAGACTCTTTTATTAAGATTTTGGATGGAGTAAATTTGTCAGAGGATGAAGAAAGACATTTTTTTGAGAAATTTTTTGTATAATTATGAATAATACTTTTTTATAAATCATATTGTTTTATATTTTAAAAATTAAAGATTTATTATTGTAAAAATATGAAAAATTTTTTGTCTTGAGTCAAATTTGCAAAAATTTACAAGTATTTATTTTTACGTTGAGAAGAAATGAAAATTTTCAGAAAATAAGTTTGAAATTTTAACTTATTAAAATTTTTTTTTCATCCATTATATTGTTTTATATTTTTAAAATTAAGATTTAGAATTTTTTTTATTCACTGTCAGAATAGGAAAAATTTTTTGTAATAAGTCAAGTTTGCAGAAATTTAGAAGTTTTGATTTTTACGTTGAGAAGAAATGAAAATTTTCAGAAAAAAAAAGTTTGAAATTTTATCTTGGTAAAGATTTTTTAAAAAAATTTGCTGCAAAATAAAAAAAATCATTTATAAAATTGTATTGCAAATTATATTGTCCGATATTTGTGTTAGAACTTTCTATTTTTTATAATTTTGTTCTTACCAAATTTATGCTCATATTTCTGAAGATCAATTTTGTAGAGAATTAAATTTTCTATAAAATTGTAAAAAATTATTCTCTGCCATTATTAAAGTTATTTTTTAAATTTCGATAACACTGTTAGTAGAAATTTACAAATTTTTATTTTTATATTAAGAAGAAATAGATCATTTAAAAAAAAAATACTTAAAGAGGACTTATTTGTTGAAAGAAATTGACTGAAAAATGAAGAAAGTATGTTATAATACTGAATTATAAATCACATTTTTAAAATAAGAGAGATTAAGTATAAACTTCAATTGACAAAACTCATAAGGTTATCATAAACTTGTCTTCTTAACTTCCGATCTTTGTTACTTAATTTTTATCAAATTTAAGCATATGTCTCTAAATACTCCTTTTGTAAAGAATTTAATTTCCTATTAGATTATAAAAAAACTTTTATCTACTAAATTATTTTGTAAATTTTTATAACTAAGAGCTGAAATTCACAAGTTTTTATTTTTAATCCAAGAAGAAATAAATGATTTAAAAAATAAAATTTCTGCCGTAAAAATTACAAAAAAAAAAACTTGTTGAATTAAAAAAACCAGACATATTTTTTCCAACAAGTAAAAAAAAAACTTAGACAGCAAATAATGAAATACTACAAGGTAATGACAATTTGTTGTATCGCATGTTGCGAAAAGCGTATGCAAAGTATAAAGAAAAATTCAAGTATGCATAAGCAATCGACGTCTAACGATTGTTATTATAATGTATCTGTATATTTATATATTAATACAAATACCGCGTATTATTGTTCACGATCAGGCGATGTCATCGGTGAGGAAACAATAACACAGCAGAAAACAGAAAAACGATGTAACATATGTAACATACAATCACAATTGGAGTACTGACAAGTGAAGTGTACGTACATGTAGAGAGACAGTGCGTCATTTTGTCGGAGGAAAAAGGAAGGAAAATAAATTTTCTGTAATCGACGGCATTATGCATACATAATAGCAGATATTTATATGTATATGGCAAACGGCGAGACGTCGATCGATCGGGAGAAAAATAAGATTCTAAAATAACTTGTTAACTCTCTCTTTCTCTCTCTTATCGTCTGGTGTCGTAAGTTTAAACGACCTTGATGCGATTGCAGATAGACGGTACATCGATAATTAATCTATTGATTAATACTCATACTTATACAGTGCAAATAGTTTTTTATTTTATTTGTGTTACGTATGATGTGATCTATGCACTTGTATGTGTGAATGGATACCAGCGACAATAGACCAAGACGGCTAGACCAACACTAGCCAATTGTCTGGTTATTTTCCGTCGAGAGTCTTGTTGATCTATAAAAATAATATCATTGACGACGAGTCTGCTCGATCGATGGCCTATCAATGCCAAATCGTCTGGGCAACTGTCTGTATGGTATTTAAATAAATACCCTGATTAATTGCACACCTCGGATTCTCATCAGTTACAAAGCGCTCTTTGTTAAAAAAATCCTTCTTTTGATTTTTGTCTCAGACTAGAACTCAATTTCTTCAAGTTAATGAGAGATGAAAAATGTTGAATGATTTTTGGATTAACATTGTTTTTTGGCTGCGTTTCAATCTTTATTGCAGTGCCAACCAAAGTGTTTTATATATTGAAAAATTACATTTTAGTTTCAATAAACAAAACACTCCATTCATGAGAAATTTCTTTCAGAATCGCTCAGTGTTATGTGTAGTTAACATTTACCTTTTTGTCTTTAAGCTTGTGTAATCTTTTATTTAAATTTAACCTAGTTTTTTAAAAAGTGATCATTAATTTGCTTTTTGTACACCTTGGTGATCTATTTTTGAGTTTTGAAATTTTTTTTTGAAGTTATGGAGGAGGAAAAGATAGAAATATTGAAATTTTCAAAGAAAAAGAAGATAATTGTTCAAGTTTAAGTTTAGTACCATGCAAATTTTTATTTTTGTGCAAATTTTTGAGATATTATGAAGAATTATTTGTGTGGTGAAGAAAACTACTTTGTTAATTCAAGATCAAAATTATGTTGAAGAAAAACAGTTGTCTTCATTCAAGATCATCTTTTTCTCTACACTGAGAAAAAAAATACTTTTACTAAGAAAATTTTTTTGATACAAGAATTCATGTTCTTGAAAGTTCTCAAGAATATGTGTTCTCAGCTCAAGAACTTGTTAAATAGATTGAAATAATTTTTACTTAATTTAAACAGATAGATCTTTTAAATCAAAAGATAAATATTGATGCTCTTCTCTTCAGAAATTAATAATTAATAATAATAGACTATTTGATAAAAGTATTTTTTTTTTCTCAGTGTAACAATAATTTTGTTTTCTTTTAAAAAGAATATAGAAAATAAGAGAAAGGACTGTTTTTGTTCGTAAAACAAATCGGTAACGTCTCAGACCGACGTTACCATATGTTTTAATTCTAATTTGAAGAAATGATTGGATAAAAAATACATTATATTGTTTAAAAGTAGCCAAGTGGTTGAAATGGTCAAATTCTTAAATAGCAAATTTTTTTTATTAAACTTTTATTTTATTTTCTTGAAATTCGTGAATGAATTCATACGAAAGATTCTAAAAAAAAAGCGAAATTTTATAGAACATTTTTTTATAAAATCAAGTCAACTTTCTAATTAGCAAATTGTCTATACAATTTAAAGAATCTTCCATTTGTACGAAGAAACAATTTAAAATTTATTGTCACTTTAAAAAACAATTTAATATCTAATAGAGGTATAGTATTTTGGCTTGGATCACTCAAATAATTAATTTATAATTGGACTATTGCTACATCAAAATGTTAAAAAATCACTCTCTAAAAAATAAGGAATTAAACCAATTGCTAATTAGACCGTCGAAGTTATTTCTTCCGTATTTATTGTATAACTTATAAGTGCGGTACTTGATCAGTAGCGCCACCTAGCGAAAAAATTACAAAATAAATTAAAGTCTATTCTCTAGAATTTGAAAATTTTTCTTTCATTACATTTTTAAGTTAAAAATAGTGATTTGCTAACAAAAATTTAGTTAATTATCAAGTAATATGCATTTCTTCTTTACAAATAAGAAGAAAAAGTTTCTAACTGTTTACACTTATAAAAAATTAATTCTACTGTCGATATTGCGGAAAATTATCATTTTTTTTTAGTAAAAACAGATTAATTACTGAAATTTCTTCTCAAAAGATTGAAAAAAAGTATTCAAGAAGAAAAAAAATCTTTTACAAAGAGTGTTTGGTTTAATTGGAGCAACGAAACGGTAAAAATACCTCGCCTTATTTATAATATTAATTGTGGACGTATTTAGCGCGTCTATATTTTATGATACACATAAGTGTATGCAGATTACACACTCTCGTGATCTTTATGACGGCGTATAGTGTGACTTTATCTGAAACGTTCAGGAGTCAGGAGCTAAATGCATGGAACGATTTAATGAAGAACGCCTTGTATAATCAACTGTCTAGACTCTCGACGTTATTTATCAGGGTCTCGTTAGCTTTATCTCCGGCAAACGGGAAATATGCACTAAGCAAAGTTACGCAAGTATGTCCGTTCTAAAGTATTCAATTATTCTTTTTTTTTATTTCGCAAATATTATTATTTTAAACCCCAGTTATTGCCTTTCATTCACTCTACTGTCTATATCCATGTCCGTGTAAAATATACATTTATATTATTATCATATATTACTTATTACTTATATTTTTGCGCCTATTTCGCAGTCGCGTTTACACACGCCGTATATTTAATAACAACAAGATTATTAACCAATTCAACCGTTACGATATCAAAAATAATATTTAACTTTTATATGACATCATATCTTTTACTCTTTACACGCTCCACTGATTACATATTTATATATAGATATTTCTCTGATCCACTTATTGTCTCGCTAAAATGTCACGTTTAATTTTTTATTTATAGAATCACAAAAGAAACTAGTCGCTGTTTTATTATTATTATTATTATTATTATTATTTTGATAATTATTATTATTATAAAGAAAACACTTTTTACTTTTATGTTAATAAAAATTACGGAAAAAATTATAAGCGCTGATAATTAATCAGATAATTATGACTAGCATTAAATTTAATAAATTGAAGAAACTTTCAATATTTAAAATTGATTTTATTTTTACAAATAAAAATAATTTTAAATCATTATTAAGTAAAAGTTTCAAAAGATCCGCCATTTTAAAAAGATTTATCACCTCACAATTTATTTCTCTCTTTATTTTAATTAATTAAATAATAATTACTATCACTACTATTAATTTAAATCTATACTATGGCAAGATTGTCAATATATCTTCCCTAATTTAATTATCGCTTAAGATATTTTGTAATTGATAATTATATTGAAGCTTTTGAAGAAAAACTTCCTAGTATCTGAAAATCAGTTCATTTTTTTAAAGTAGATGGCGTCGAAGCTTGTTCTGTAAATATTAATACTTAAAAATCGCAGCTTATTATCTTAAATGTTACATTTTTATTTATAAAATTAAAGAAGGAAAAAAGTGCGGTTTTATTATTATCGTTGTTTTCATTTTTGATGTGAGGAAAACAATTTTAATTCTTACGTCAATACAGAAATTACAAGCGCTGATAATAAATCAGATGATTATGACTTATGACAACATTTTTCAAAGAAAAATTTTCTAAAAATAACCTTCAATATTAACAAGCAAAAAATTTTGTTAATAAATGTAAATACACCCGCCATTTTTAAAATGCATCTCTTCTCATGATTTATTTTTCATCTTGTATGTAATTACCAATTAAAAATTACTGTAATTAATATTATTTTTAATCTAAATCATGGCAAGATTGTAAATATATCTTCTCTATAATTTAATTTAATTACTGTCTAATTATTTCGTAATTAACGAAGTTTTAAGGTTGAATCCGCTACAAACTAGAGGGCGCAACTTGAGAATTCTCTCGATAAATTTCAAATTTAAAAAAAAATCAAACTTTAATTTTTAGTTACTTTTATACTATTAAGAAGTAATTTTGCAAGCGTGCATTAAAAAAAAAACCGCAACTTCATTATTTTAAATGTCACGTTGCATTTTTTATTTATAGAACCAAGTCTCAGTTTCACTACAATTATAAATGAAAAAACGACGAGTGCTGATAAAGAATCATAAGATTATAACTAACGTAATGATAATAATAACAATGACATTAAAAATAAAATATGAGGCGATGTGTGCAGTCTACAACTATTGGTGCACATGCACCAATAAACTCAACTAAAATATAATCAAGTACTTATCTGTGGTCAAGCGCGACGTCCTCCGTCATCGGTCTATTTATATTTATATTTATATAAATGTATATGTCTGTGAATATAATTTTTTTTTGCATATCGTACAAAGACATGACAGATATCGGCATCGTAAAAGGCCATTGTAGCTATAGCGCATTGTCTCCCTAATCCCTCTTTCATTGTCCATTCGATGGACAGAAATAATAACAATAACAGTTTGTAATAATTGTTATTTTTTATATTATTATTATTGTAATAATGAAAAAATAAATGTTATTGTCTTTGTTAACAGATGCTGTCGGTGAGCGCAGGCATGGATGTCGGCTGTGGGGGTCACGGTGGCCTCGAGAGTGCGACAGCTGTTGGTGGCGGTGCGGATGGCATGCAGGAGGCAATGGTCGCGGCTGCGAGAGATCGAGCTGTTCGTACTGTGAGTGTACGACAAGATCTCGCTCTTGACTTACCACCGAGGCTCCAACTCCCCGATGGCGAGGAACGGCCTTATGGTGCTCACGCCGGGCTCCACCTTCGTGATCCTGAACAGGTTAGTTGGTTTTTTAATTTTTTTTTTTATTCAAAAAATTATTAATCAAAGTATTTTTCCGCTTTCAGGCAATTATTTTAATGTACAGCTCCGAATTTTTTATGATTATTTAGAAAAAATCATTCGATATTTTTTTTTTTTCAAACTAAATTAATACGAAACATAAATTAAATAACTATGCAAGTAATTTTTTATTCATTTGTCATTTTTAATATTTTTTTGAATCAGTTTTTTTCTTTTTAATATGAAATTGTAATTGCGATAAAAAAAATGTAAGTTTATTTTTCTAAGTTTTTGTTTTTAATTATTGGTGGTTTAAAAAAAAAGGTAATTGTTAAGTTTCAAGATCAATCAATTTTTTTTAGTATAAAAATTGAAAAATTAACATTTTTTTTCTTTGAATTTTTTTATTTTTAATTAGCTTTGAGAAAAAAAATTGTAAACATCATTTTTATGCGGAACTAAATAATTACCAAAATTTTTTTATACTAAATAAGTAATTTTAAAATTTTATTTGTAAATTTTGATTTCTAATCTTTTCATTTATTCAATTTTTTTTATAAAAAAAATTTGAAATTTATCTTAAAAAAAAAAAAACAATCAACATTTTTAATTTTCGCAATTAAAATATTCAATTAATGAATTACAATAAAATTTCAATTTTTATCATCAAAAATAGGAGTTGTAGATTAAAAAAATTACCAATAAAATCTACAATTGTCGATAATTAAATATGACCTTTAAAAATGATCTATAAAAAAGAAACTCAATTATTCTCTAATGGATTAAAGTTTCCGACATAAATGTATGACTAATCTACGTCAGTTATTTGACGTCTTTGTCAATAATTACCTTGTGTTTAGAATCAATTAACTTGAAACCTTAGTCATAGAAATAATAGAAATATGTAAGCTAAAAAAAATGTCCATATACTTCAAACAATCAACATTAATAATTTAAAATAAAATACAAATTAGTGCTAAAATTTAAACTGAAAAAAATTATTAAAAATAATATTTTATTTTTCAGGAAAGTGAAATTTATCAGAAATGCGTACGACCACCTCCAAATAGAACGATATTCGACAGCGAGAGTCCACCTCCCTACAGCAGAAGCCAATCAACGATACTGGACACACCAGATCGGATAATAAGATGCCATAGCGCTGGTAGTTCACTGTTAAGGGTATTTAGAAAATTCCCAAGTAATGTAGGTGGCTCGACACCGGTTGTGGTGGTGCCGCCATCGAGGCGGCCTAGTCTATCAAGCTACTCCGAATCTAGCAGTAATTTGAACAATTTATCAAGTCTGACTGTGGTACCTTGCGAGGCAGATGAACACAACCATCACCATCATCGGGATCACGTCTGATCCAAGCCAACGTTGACACGTTGTCAACGCGCGCAACAGTTGTGAAATCCCAACAAATATATTAATATGAATATAAATATATGTGTGTATATATATATATATATATATGTGTATATATATGCATACATTTATTTAAATAAATAATTATTCACCGAGCGACAAGACATAAAGAATTCTCGTAAGCTTACGAACAAGCTTGGCTGGCTCATCGTTCATTTTATTTATTTATTTCTTCTTTTTTTTTTTTTTTCGATTATGTTGATTGTATTTTATTATTTTATTTTTATTGAACCTTGATGGCAATAAACCAGCGTTAGTCATCGAATTGTTTTATTGTTTGCGCCTACGAGCTTACTCGTCTTCGTCGTTGGGGATACGGATGAAGGAGTAGGAGATTCTAAAGACTGACTCGTCGAAGATTAGTTAAAAAGAAGATGAAGAAGAAGAAGAAGAAGAAGAAGATAGACATGAAAATTACAGGCGACATTTTATTTAATTATGAATAATTAAAGGATCATTAAATTGTCGTCTGGTTATTGATTAAACTTGATTTAAAAGTTGTACACAGTGAAAGTGATAAATGGAGGACACATCAGTACTGTGTCGTATAGGACATAAGTAATAATGGAAAGTAATAGAGATGTTTATTGAAAACAATCTTAAATAATAAACTAACTAAATAAAATAAATAAAGAAAAAAAAATAAAAAGGAGAGCTGAAAGTCTGAAGACTTAAGAGATGTATTCGAGATAAACGTCCAATACAGCAATTGTACGATGATGCATACGCAAAAATAAATAATAATTATAATATTAATATTGATAATATTAACAATAATAATAATAATAATAATAATAGTAATAATAATAATTATAATTATAATTATAATGGTAATGATAATTATTAATTAAACCGGAGAACGGTGTAAATATCAGAACATAAAGATGAGAGTTTCTTCTTTATGCTCACGACTTATGTATGCAGACAACGAGAGCGTAACCGAGGGTTAACTTAAATAAAGTTCAACCAAGTTTTGTTCTTCGAGAAAAGTATATTAAAAAAATTTTTAAAAAAGTATATTATAAATGATAAAAGTAAAAAGACTTAGTAAATTATTTAGTAAACGATATTGCGATGTCTTGCATGTTTTGCGGATTTATAATAGAGGAAAATTTAAGGCGGATAAATAAATAAATAAAAGTATATTATATATATTAGATGAATGGATAAAAAAATTATTTGAATGCATTTTGTGTGGTGATGGAGTTTAATTTTTTGATGAGTGTGTGCAAATTATTGTGTTAGAGAGAATTGTGTGTGCCTGACTATTATTTTATTATTGAGGATAAAAGTTTTAAGAACGAACGAATAATAGTGCCAATTTGGTGAATAAACATTATAAATTAAATTGAAATTGTATATATTATTAGGTAGTTAAATATCGATATTAATTGTAATAACTCAAAAAAAAAAAAAAAAAAAATACAATAATTATTGTGCTACGTATCGATGACGGAGAAAAAAATAATTAATTATAGGACGGAATAAATTTTTTTTTTTTATGGCAATTGATACAATATAATATATTATTGTACTCGAGTCAGAATATTAGAAAAATAAATTGTCTCTGGCACGATAATTTATATTGATAAGTCAATTCGTTTTGTTATTTTTTTTTCTTGTAATTTAAAGTTTTATTTTAAAAAAATAAAAATGTGTATTATAATTATTATGATATATAAAATGAATTACTGCGTTTTTGAAAATAATTTGACGTCGTCGTGGCAGAGATTAATTAAAATTATGTATAAGAAAAAAATTCTAGTGAAAAAAATTAACCAATTATGATAATTAAATTAGATAAAAGAAAAATTTTTAGGTCTCGCGACTCAATCTCCATTATCATCGTGATTAAAATATATATAAAAAAAAAATAATAATTAAAAAAAAAAGTAAATCACGACGACAATTGTGTATGTATTTAGGAGAGATGTGTAAAAACGCAGACGCAAATCAACGATAGTAAAAGTTTTTATGATAATATTTTCTCAAGGCAATGTCCGGCCAGTTATTTACGCAATAATCCGACCGTTAATACTTGTACGTGCTACGTCTAGCCGAAAGATATAACGTCAAAACTACAACATAATTTTAAAATTATAATAATAAATAATAATACAACAATGATAAATCGCGTTACAGATGCCATGAGGGCGTATAATAATTCTATTTTTTTTTTCTAAGTCCAAAAAAATTTTTAGTTTGAAGAAAAATACGTCGATTCCCAAAAAAAAATTTTTTTTACGCTCTTAAGCAAGAAAAAAACAAGATGACACTGGATAAAATCCTAAATTATACTCAGTGATATCTGTGGCGAAAAAAAATTTTAGATAGTAGTTAAAAAAATCCAATATAAACTGCGTGATATCTGGATTATACTAGCTACTATCTTAAATTTTTTTTCACTCAATATAATCTGGGATTATATCCAGTGTAATCTTGTTCTTTCCGTGTAGCTTTTCACCAGGATCTTTTGCCAGTATACACCCTTTTGGCATCTGGAAAGTGAAATAATGTTCCCTCAGTATCTTGTAATAATATTCACGCGGATGCAATATTGGGGAAGAAATAAAAAAATTTAATGCTGATAGTTTAATTCCAGAGGGTTGTGAGGGACGTTAAATATTATTTAATTTAATAGGCGGGGTACGGTGAGTTAGCGGGAATTGTTAAAAAAAAAAATTAAATTAATTAAAGTAAACTAATTAAATAAAATAAAATAAAGTAAATGATTTAATTGTAATGGGTCCTGTGCAAAATCTTAATTGATTTATTGACATTATTCGAGTTTTTATAAACTTTTATGTAATCAATGGCGCAAATTATAATGTAATTTATTTTTTAGATGAATTTGAGTGTATAAATATTATAATTATTATTATCATTATTAATATTAATATTATTATTATTATTATTATTATTATTATTATTATTATTATTATTATTATTATTACTATTATGGGGTCAAGAGAAACGTAGTGTGGAATCGAGTATTTGTCATTAAAGCTTTCTTTATAATAATTATAGTTATAAAATTATTTTTATCACGATAATTGTAATCAATAATATTGTATTATAATAACGTATTATCTATCGTTGAATTTTCGTTAATCGTCAGTATCATCACTACATTTTATTTTACTACGACAATTACTATTTAAATAAATGAATAAACGATAGAGTTAATTTAAAACATATCGAGCAATTTAACAAAATTATTAATATTGTAAATTATTTTTAAATTATTCGGGTTGACCGAGAGAAAAAACGGGACGATGCAACTGATGAGATATTAAAAAATGTCTCTAAATTTTTAAATTAATTAATATATCAAAGACAAATTGGTAAAAAAATAAGTGCGTTTCTCCTGCCAAATCTAGTTTATTATTTCTTCTTTAATAAGATATGACAATCGGTGTCTAGTCTTTCGGCAATTAATCCGAACGAATTTTTATTATAAATTATAATTAATGTAAATTTATTAATTTATGTAATTCGCTCGATTAAAGCGATTAATTAAGGTGATTATAATTAAATATATGGTGTTTACGCAAGACAGCGAACAAATAATTTAAGGTCTCACCGTAAAATTTGTCCATTTTATTTAATTAAAATTATTATTAATTAGTAATTATTTTTATGTTATTGGTGTAAAGCATTGTCAGTATAAACCCAATATATCATACTATTGAGCTCCTGAGACACCTGGGGCTTACTGGGTTTGCCTCGTAGCTCATTAGTACGCAATCATTGTTATTAATAATTGTAATACTGTAATTCTAATTGTAATTAAATAATTATGTTACTTTAGTTAGCGACCAAAAAAAAAAAAAAAAAAAAAAAAAAATAAAAAGAAACGTAAATCAATGCACAGATGACCCACAGACTGATCGATATATCGTGTATTTTAAGAATCAAAATTTTATAGATTATTGATGTATTATCTCCCTCGTGATACAGTGGCTTACGGTTAATTGATGATTTTACCTAGTTACAGTACTTGGTAATTCATGGGAGAAAATATAAATTAATTAATTAATTATTAATGTGAATAATAAAGTGAAAGAAAAATTAAAAAAAACGTAATTAATTAATTAAAATATTTATAATTAATAATGAGTATAATAATTAGTGAAAATTGATAAAATTATTATTGAAAATAATTATAATTATAATTAAATAAAATAATAAAGAAGAAAACAAAACTGATATGATCTGTAGAGCCAGTGTCGTTTTATCGAGGTCGCTTTTACTAAAGTCACCCGCTGAATGTATTATAATTATAATAATAATAATAATAATAATTAAATACGTCTCTTAAAAAAGTGTTTAAATGTATATTTAATAATACATAATTAAATTATATTAATTAATAATAATCGCTGTTAATTAGCGATTTAATCCTTGTTGGTAGCAAAAAATTGTTGGTATATATTTTTTTTTTAATATATATTTATTTTTTATTGATATACTTTATTTTTATTAGGATTTTAAAATTATTAAGAGCTTTTAATTTGTTATTATTTTTTAAATAAAGATAATAAATTTACCAACAATTTTTTGATCTTCACAGCTAACAACTATCCCCGCCACATTTTTAGTAAATTATATCATTAAAAAATAATAGAATTAATATTTTTTAATTATACAAGCCTAAAAAACAAATTCATTGGTGTTTAATAATAATTAATTATTAATTATTCAAACAGTTGTTTTCATTTTTACAAATTCATCTATTTTAAATGCATCGTATAATTATGTAAATAGTTTATTAACGAACAATCAATAATAATAATAAATGACACATTGGATTTTTTAAAATGAAAAAAATAAAATTTATAAAAGATACAAAGTAATTTATAATCTAATTATACTATGAAGATTAAGAATCACTGGTGACTTGTGGACCTCGAATTTTTTTTATTCACTCAGATCAACACTCATTAATTTTTACTTCATATCACCATAAATTATTTTTTCTTTTTTTTTTCATTAAATTATTGGTGTACTTACCATACAATTTTCTATAAAATAAAATAAAACAAAATAAAAAAACTCTTAATTGCGTATTTGATTTATCTAATATTTAATTTTTTAACTAAATAATTAACGCGTTTAAAATAAAAAAATAAAAAATTCATATTCATTAGAAACCATGAAGAATAAACTTAATACAAAGAAGAAATAAAAAATTATTAAATGAGATTCTTGGAAAATTGTCATTGATATAAAAATTTATAAATTCTTAAAAATCTGACAGCTTAAGTAATTTTGAATAGTTTAAAAAAAAAAAAACTTGACTGTCTCGGAGCTTTTTTTGACACATTTCAAAATTTTAATAAGTGTTAAAAAGTTAGGTTTTTAATTTTTAGAACTTCGAATACTTCCCACCAGAGGCGCGCATATTTTAGAATAAATAGAGGTAAGTATATTTGTAGTTTTTCATCATACTGAAGTTATTATAGATGAAAATTAATTTAGCAGATATTTGACAATTTTGAGAAATTTTATAACAAATAAATTATGACAGAAAAAAAAAAAGAGAAATAAAATTGACATGTAGAAATTTAAGAAAATTCAAAATACAATTTTTTAAAAATAATTTTTTGGAACAAATTTGTTTGTTAAAAAACATTAAAAAATGGTCAAGTGACTGCTATTTTTGATGTCATAGTTAACAGATGTTAGAGATGTTTTTATAATTTTACAGCAGTGAAATTATTATGAAAAAAAAAGTTTCTAAAAACTTCTCATGTGAAAATTAAAAAAAAAAATATTAATGGAAATTTTTTAAAGCATTTGTTAATTGTCATTTATTTGTTATAAAAATTAAAAAAATTGACAGCTGTCAGCTGACTTCAGTATCATAGTTTTTTCCAATTAAATGTGAGCATTTTCGTTCTTAAATAGTTAAGTAGTGTTGACAGTTTTTTAAATTTCTTCCAAAATAATTAACCATAAAATTACAATTAAAAAAACTCAAGTTTTTACAAACTAGCTTTGTTAATTTGGTTAAACTGACAGCGAATGAAGATATAGATAATTGTAAATAATGTTTTTATAAATATTGTCATTCACTGAAATAGTGCACATTAAATTAAAAAAAAAAAAAACGAATCATAAATGATTATTAGTACTCAATAACATAAAAACCAATTGTATTAATTTTGTTCAAGTGTTTTTTTTATTTGTTCTTTAATAATAATTAATTAAACTTTTTGTGTGAATTCATTAATTTTTTTTCAATTTACTTAATGAAAATTAATTTAGCAGATGCTCAATAATATTTTGTAACAAATAAATTATAGCAAAAAAAATTGACAAATAGAAATTTAAAAATGCAATTTTTAAAAAATAATTTTTTAAGAACAAATTTGTTTCTTAAAAAAAAATTAAAAAATAGTCAATTGACTAAATTTAAATTCATATTTACTTAACCTAAAAATTAATAAATTTAAATATTTCAAAATCAGTCAAAAGAAATTTGAACTTCGCGCTTTTGCGAATCTCACCAGAGCGCGCTTCTTTAAACGTACGCGCGCAATATCAGTGCCGCCATTGTAAATAATTAGATATATATTTTCGTAAAATTTGCGCCCATAAAAAAACACACACACTCGTGGTTGACCAGTGCCCGAAAAAGTTCCTAAAATCATAAAAAATAAAAACAATTGACAGCCGAAACAAAACATATTTAATAACAATTGCTAACTTACAATTATACAATTATTAGACTCATAACAACTCAGCGAATTGACTTCCGGTTTTCGTGATAAAGACGCTACATTTTGATGAGCGTATTTAAGCATACTCGTACCCGCTGAAGCCATACTGGGCATGCTTATTAGTATATGTTTTAATATACCTACATATAATACATACATTCATCATCATCATCATCATCGGCGAAATTTATTTCAATAGTGCGTGTCTATTGTAACGTATATTACTTTTAAAATATTATTTTTATTTATTTACTTTTTTATTCTCAGGCTTTAAGGTGAAGGTGGTAAATACTATTCTGTGAAATCGTGGATATGACGGTATTTTATTGGACAACTGTGAGCTTGAGCGTAGCTCTTACTACGGAAATAACAATTGCTATTAGATTGTGGGAATAACCACTAAATTATTATAAAACTTCTTTAGCTGCATAATATTTTATTTTACTCTTGTAAGTACAATTTATTTATTTTTTATTTTATCTTGTGTGTAATTAGTAATTACTAACCTATAATTAATTTTATTTATTAAAGTAAGGTTAGTAATTTCGTAAATATTTTTTTTATTTTTCTATTTATTTATTTATTAAATTTTAATCCTAGAGCAAGTGCTCCTTAAAGTACCATTATAATTATTAACATATTAAATTAATATAATATTAATTTTTAGTGAGAAAAGAGTGCTTGAGGGTTTGGTATTGAAACAAAAGGCAAAAAAAGATAAAGCAACGGAGCACGCGATGGATGTCGTGGCTGCCGATTTAAATGGCGGGAATGGCGAGGTGGCGCGTGACCATTTGTCAGACCCAGGAGCAGACGTATGTAAATCTCCGATAACCGGCGACGTCAACACTAAAGATTCCAAGAGCAAAGACAAAGATGTTGACGATGTCAAGGAGAACCAGGACCTAGATCAAGACACTACCCAGCAATCTGATGTAATAGACAGTAAAAATGTCAAAGACAAAGTTGGTGATAAATTAGTGTCAGACGAGGTGATTTTGATAAAAGAATCAGACAGTGCAGTACACGATAGTAAAAAAATGGACGACCAAGACAAAGAGGTTAATGGTGATGTTAAGGGAATTAGTGTAAGTAAAAAAAGTATAGTAACTCCTGTGGGTAAGCGAAAACTTAGAAAAGTTAAAGCCAATTCGACGAGCGCTGTTGAAAGCAAGCCCCAGGATTCGCCGATGGTCAATACTAATTCCTCCAATAGAACGCGTAATCAAAAAAGAAAGTTGTCAGAGCCTGATAATCATTCTTCTGATGACTCTGAGGATTTCTTGGGGTTTGATAGCAGTGAATTCTTAAAACCAAATCCTGCTGTTGAGATACTCAAGAGGTTGATTGCCGAAGCAGAAGCTGAGATTTCAACGCCTCAACCACCGGCTAAGAGACAGAAACTCTCGGTGTCCAAGGTACCGCCGAAGAAGAGTGAGTTGAAAACTGAAGAACCACAGACGGGTAAGTTTATTAGTTATTTTTCCGGGATTAAAATTTATTATGAAAATTAAGTTAGCCGACATCTGAAAATTTTAAGAATTTTTTTTCATTGAAAATATTGTAAATAAATTTCATTTGTAAAAAACTTAAAAAACTGTAAGTGCAATTTTGAAAAATTAAAAGTGTCGGCTAAGTTTAGTATTGTAAATTTATTTATTTATTTATCTGGTACATTGAGAAAAAAAAATTTTTTTTGTCCAGAAGAAAATTTCTTGGTTCAAGAATCGTTTAAAAATAATTTTCGTTTTTTGACAAAAGAATATCAATATCTATCATGATAATAAAATGTTAGCATACATTTTTATAGATTAACAAACGAATAGATTCACTTGAATTAAACAAAAAATACTTCGATCAATTCTTGAGGCAAGAAAACATATTCTTGAAAATTATCAAGAATATATATTCTTGTGACAAGAAAGGTTTCTCAAGAATAGTACTTTTTTTTTCTCAGTGTGAGGAATTCTATCGAGGTGTAAAAACACCTGTGTCTAGAACCAGTACAAAAAACAGTTTTATTATACTCTTTTTTACAAAATTTATGTCTATCATATAATTCAAAGAGAAAATAAGTACAAAAAGTAATAAATTTTTAGAGAAAGAAACACAAAATTATAAATAATTATTAGAAAAAGAAATATCCAATTAAATACTCGCATTTTCCAATACATTTTTTAAGCATATTAAGGTAACTTAACTTTTTTTTTAACAATTTTTTATTACAATACATCGACGTTCTAATTAGCAAATTGTCTAATTTCATTTTAGAGAATCTTCTATTTGTACGAAAAAAAACAATTAATTCAAAATTTATTATCACTTTAAAAAACCATTTAATATCATTATTATCGAATAGAGATATAGTATTTAGGTTTGAATCATTCAAATAATTTATAATTGGATTATTGCTACATCAAAAAGTTAAAAAATCACTCTTTTGGTGGTACTAGCAACTTAAATCTTCTAGGGTAAAAGACCCCATTACTGACACTTTCTTTGATTTTGGTACTTATTCAATTAATGAAATCATTAATTTCAATAATGAATATATTATTTCTAATTTATAGATCAAAAAAATTTTTAATTTTTATTCCAAGTAGAACATTTTTTCATTAAAAGAAAAAGTGTCACTAATAGGGGTTAAAGGTGCCATTAATGGGGTCTTTTACCTTATATGTAAGTTTTTCAGAGTACCGGTTTCTACATGATTCTCTTATTACCAAGGGCATCGTGTTGTAATTATTTATGCATAGCTTTTTAAATATTTTACCGTGAAAGCTGTTAAAAGTTACCCAGGTTGTCTTTTTCGCTCTTGTTAGTGTTTTATGATAAATTGAGACAGAACGACGGTAACTTTTAACAGCTTTCCCCTGAAAGGTTTAATTGAATTGTCATAGGCTCCTTCCGATGCAACAATGTCATCATAGTTTACTATGCTAAACGTTCAAATAAATTAATACCTAAACCTCTATTATCTCTTATACTTACATTTATACTGTTAAAATGTATAATATTGTATATTGCCAATTGGCGATTTTACCTAATAAATAAATAAATAAATAAATAAATGTTAAATGGTCATTTTATGATTAATTTTTTTTTTTAGAAGCCAAGGGTAAGAAGAAGGTGGAAAAAATAGACCAGTCTCCAGACATAGCCATTATTGCTACGGTTAAAAATGACGCGTCTGGAAAGTCTCCGCCGTCTGCCAAGACTCCTGTCGCCAGAAGAGGTGTGCGGAATTCTCACGCTTCACCGGCAGTGAGTATAGTTCCTAAACTTAAGGTTCCTTCTGATGTTACTCAACCGGAGTACAAAGAGCCTTTCAAGTATGGATGGAAGCGCGAACTTGTGTACAAAAACGAGAGTGATCCAGCGAAAAAGACTATTGAAGTTTTTTATTACACACCAAAGGGCAAAAGGGTTCGAAGCTTAAGAGAAGTCGCTGAATTCCGTGAGTATTTGTCCCGTTAAATAAAATTTTATTAGGATTGATTTTATTTTATTTTGTTTAAATAATTAAATTTTTTTTAACAGTGAGTACGGAGGATCTAACGATAGATAATTTCATATTCACCAAGGAACCCACGGGTGTTAACGACCCTCAGTGTGAAATAATTAAAGATGAAGCTACTGCAGTAGTTTTTTTTTTTTTTTTTTTTTTTTATTATTTTTATTAATTATGGTTAGAAATTTTCAAACTGATTTTTTTTTTATGATTTTTACAGGTAAGCACACCAGTTAATGCAGGTTCATCTAAGAAACTTGTAACTGGAAAAAGAGTTCCCGTTCCGAAAAGACTTAGTGGAAAAACTTCGCCTTTACCTGTTGCTAAAACTCTGGCTAAAGCTTTGCCTATTAAGACAAGTACTCCTGGACTTAAAGTTAAGGTTCCTGTAAAGAGAGGAGCACCGAAAAGTAAGATATTGCTTATTTAAAATTAAAAATATTTTTTTTTTATTGTATTAAGGGATTACATTCTGGTTCCGGAGCTCGAAAAAAAACATATTCATTTTTTTTTACCCAGAAACTATTATATATACCAATATAAAATTTATTCAGCTCACTAAATTCTTGAATATAACAAAAAATATCTAAGTTTATTTTTTTTATATTTTTTATATGAATAACGGGTGAACGGAACTCTGATAAAAGTTAGCATGTCGCTGATGTACATGATAATTTGGTAAAGGCTCATCTAAAATACAAAAACCAAAATAATTTACTTTTAATATATAAGTAGCTATTGCATTAGCTAAAGAGATTAATATTTATTGATTAATAACAAAATGGCAGAGATTGAAAAAAAAAAAAAGAAAAAAAAAGGAGATTTTTTTTTTCACAGTTTATAGTCCTAAAAAAATAGTAAAAATTAAAATTTTGATTTGGTTGTAGCTGATGCAATAAATACTGCTATGTAGAATATGTGGTTTAAATTTCAATAAGGTCGAGTCAGTAGTTCCGGAGGTATCATAAACGTAAACTGGAAAAACAGTTCTGAAATAAACGCATTTAAAGTTTTTTTGAATAAAAAAAAAATCTTACAAATCAGAGACGCCGACATCATTCAAAATCCCTTCAGCCTTTTCAAAAATTTGACTTTCTTCCTTTTGAACATCCACATAAACATCGTAAAATAATATATTTACAGTGGTCTGATCACTTAGAAATTTTAACACAATACTTTTAGATAAAGTAAAAGACCCAGTTATTGGCACTGGCCTAGTTGTTTAACACATGCAATTTTATTCTAAATAAAAAAATAAAATATTCTCAAAAAATCAATTATCTTAAAATTTATAATTCAAAAATTATATTTATTTTATATATATTTTTTTAATTAAAATAAAATTGCAAATGTCAATAACTAGGCCAGTGTCAATAACTGGGTCTTTTACCTTCTATACTTTTAGAAAAATTAAAAAAAAATTTTTTTTCAAATGTTACAAACCAGGATGATCTCTCATTTTCAGTTTTGTAAAATTTAAATATATTGATATTTATTAAATGTTTAATTTTACAGAAGAGATATCACCGCCTAAGGAGACAGAAGTTCACACGTGGACAAACTCATCAAGCATCACAAGACGTACGCAAGGTGGAACCGAAAAAGCGTCGCCATACAAATCAAAACGCTCATTAAAGTAAGTAATAACATACCTTTTAGCTTATTTTATTTTTCATTGTTTCTTCACATTCATACATATGACACCACTAGTTACTAGCATAAATAATTAAACTACCTAAACCGACTATGAAAAATTAATAACAATTGATGACACCTCATACCGATCCCATTAAAAAAAAAAAAAAAAAAAAAACTATCGCCCTTCTTATCTTTTGCTTAATCTATTGTTCTCTCGATCCCATCCCCTACCAACGCACGTTTACAGGACGAAGCTTCAGGAACCGTGCAGTATTCGTTGTGCTATGAGTATGGGACTGATACCGAGTCTCCAATGCCGCGTCTGCCTCTGTCTGTATCATCCCGAGTGCGTAGGTCACGCTGAGAATTCAGTCACTGAAGATTATGTTTGCAAGGTAACTTGATGAATGAAAAAAAAAAAAAAAATTACGAGGATTCTAATATTTAAAATGCTTTTAGAACTGCCGGCAAGACAATGAAGAAAGTAGAAAAGTGACAATTACACCACCGCCTTTGATACCAATCAGTATGATAGGAACAGAGACTGCCAAATCACTCTTCCCAGCAATTGATCGACAATCACCTTTAAAAGCTCCAAAGAATTTAAAACCTGATGATTACTTCAAAAATTCACGAGATTCATTTTCGACGAATAAATTAAACACTGCTGCCTGGTACTCGAATAGAGATTCAATGCAAAGGCAAGACGGCTCGGAGCCTAAGCCAGCTCAAAATATCGCAATTGTTAATGGTAAAAAATTTATCGTTGTACCTAAAAATAACGCGGGATCAGTTCAACCAGCAATCAGGCCTAGAGTACCCAATAGATTGTCTATGATTGACGACAATGATAGAATTAATTTAATAAATTATCCAAGAGACTTAGAGAACAGAGAGTCTAGAGTTCTTAAAGAGACGATGGTTAATTCCAGAGAAGAAATTAGAAATTTAAACAATGACAAGAGCAAGGATTCTGCTGCTATTATTGACCCTGACCAGAGACGGAATTCTGGTGAGGCTAAGACGGATGACACTCCTAATCTTGGAGAAGAGACGCGAGAAACAGTACCTCAACAAGTCGCTCAAGAAGTAAAAGAACTTGCTTTAAATAAAGAACAGGAAGATACCTCTAAGGAAAATCTGAATGAAATTGTGGGCACTGATGAGAAAGTTGAAAAATTGAGTAATGAAAAAATTCTTGAGATGATTGAGGAAAAAATACTCAAGTCAAGTGTAGAAATGGCTGAGCGGATGGATCTAGACGAGCCAAATACTTCTGATGAACAGATAAGGGATGAGTTCGATGGGTCGAGAGAAAATTTTGAAGCTATGGAAGTATCTGAGCAAAAGAGCAAAGAGAATTTAAATGACAAAAAAATTGAGGAGAATATTGATAAGAGTGTCGATAGAACACAGGTGGAGGCAGATAAGTAAGTTGAGATTTGAAATTTATATTTTTTACATATCTCTCCTTTATGAGGTTTCGGCAGTTGCTTTATTATACTTTTATTGAACCAGATTATTTTTTTTTTTTTTTTTTTTTATAGTTTGTGATTTTTTTTTTCTATTTACAATTCCTCTTTTTTACTATTTATAGTTTTGTGTTCCGCAGAGCATATGTTTGCTTTGTAATTGGAAATATAAAAACGTCCTACCGATAAAATGAATTTGATTTTTTCCTAAGAAGCACACTGCCTTAGCTTCGAAAAGTGGCAACACAATTGTAAAAATAATTATTAGTTTACATGTTTTTAGAATTGAATTCTGAAATTCATTATTCAAACTCTTGTAGTATCAACGTAATTTACTTTTATTTTAATTTATTTAAAATATTTATTTATAATAAATAATATTTTATTTTAATTATAAAGAAGAATGAATTAAAAATGCATTTACATTAATGCTACAAGGAGTAAAATATTAATTAAGTGCTTCAAATTAAAAAAAAAAAAATCTAATTCATTTTTACTTTTTTATATTTGCAGATATAAAGGCATGTGCGAGCGAGAACACAAATTTAAATAATAACTTTGTTTAGTGCGTTCCTTCGCGATTATCCCTCTCCCATTTCAATTTCCTCTGTTCCTTATTCTATTTATTTTCATACAGTGACCAATAAAAATTATTGCAATAATGAATAAAATTACACGGCTGGAAAAAATTGGGAAAAAATTTTTTTCGTCCTTTCAAAATCAAAAAAAAATTGGTAATTATTTACAAATGGGGTCAAACCTATTTTTGGCCATAAAAAATAGATAAATTGATGGATCATCATAATTTTTTTTTAACTTCGTTTTTTTACGGTAGATTTATGATGGTGATATCGAAAATATTACAAAAATTATTAAATTTTCTGCTTTATTTTTTCCAGTCTTGTATTTTAAATTATTTTAAAAAATATTAATCATAAAAATTATTAAATTACAATTTAATTTAAATTACAGAAAAAAAGCCGTAGTGCCCATGGTGGAAGTGGATCAAAGGCAGTACTTCATGGCGACAGTCTGTTCAGGCTACAATGCACTATCACGAGTCTTTCAGTATCTGAAAGTCCAAGAATTATTACGTGCTGCGCGTGTATGTAAAATGTGGCGTGACATTGCGGTGCATCCATCGCTGTGGAAAACAGTGCGTATGAAGAACAGCCAGGTGACCGATTGGGATGGACTGGTAGCAACATTACAGAGGCACGGAACCCAACATCTCGACTTGCGTAAGATGCTTGTAGCTGCTGAGTCTGACAGTATTTGGGAAAAATTCGTCACGGTAATTCCCAATGTAAAGACTCTTGTTAAACTGGAGCTGTGTCGCTGTCCCGTTATGGTAGTTGAAGAAGTAATAAAAGCCTGTCCTCAGTTGCAAGTGCTCACCGCAATGTCAATAAAATGCGACTGGCTAAACTTGAACAATATTGACAATTTAAAATCATGTGAAGAGCTGAGACTGAAAGCGATTACTGGTATGTCGTTGTACGGAGATTTAACACCACTCCAAAATCTCTCTCAGCTATCGCACTTGAGTTTGACGTCGGTGAAAGAACTCGGTAAGAAGAAAATAGAAATTTTAGGGTCTCTTGCTAATCTTGAGTCACTTGAACTGGGTGAGTGCTCTGATTTCCCGTCAAAGTTCGGAACATCGGTGCTGTGCAAACTCACCAAGCTCGAGCGACTGAGACTTGAAAAAGGACAAGGCAGCTGTTGCACTTTCGATATACTGAAAGGCGTTGCTAAGCTTGAAAAATTACACCAATTGGAGTTGGTAAACTTTGATGTAAAGAATGGCTTTGATAAACACTTGGCCAATTGCAAAAATATCAAGAGGCTACTCATCATTCCGACGTACATTTCCCAGTCAGCTACGTCGAATAATATGGTCCTAGGAGGTGTTTGCGAATTATCTAACAGCCTTACGTATTTTGTATGGGGTGTCACGCTTGAACTTCTGAGAGTCACTCAGCTGTTTGTCGATCAATGCAATCAAATGGACAAACAAATTTCTGGAGATTCTATTCCAGTGTTGAAACCAGTTCCTTGTTTATCGCTGATTGAAGATCCAGATGAAGCCCAGAGTTTGACTAAAGGTAACTTATTTTTGATTTTAGAAGAAATTAAGAAATCATTCTGGTTCCGGCGTTAGAAAAAAAATAAATATAAACATAGATATCATCGATGTCAACCAGAAAATCATAGTTCTGAGATGAACGCGTTTAAAGTTTTTTTAATTAAAAAAAAAAAAAAAAAAAAAAAAAATAATCTTAGAGATAGTTTTTCAATCCGAGATAAAATTTTATCCAGGATAAAATTATTATTACCAGTATATTTATATATATATACATATATATGAAATATATAGATATATTTTATCATTGGATACAATTTTATCCTGGATTGAAAAACTGGCCCTTAAAGTCAATCAGGGACACCGACTTTATATAAAATCTCTTCAACCTTTTCGAAAATTTAATTTTCCTTTATTCAAAAATTAAGATAAACATCGTAAAATATATACTTACAGTGGTCTGATCACTTAAAAATTTTAACACAATAATTTTAAATGATGTACTTTTAAAAAATGTAAAAAAATTTTCCTAAAAGTTACAAACCAGAATAATCTCTTACTATCTATCATTTAACGCTCATTAAGTTATTTTTAAATTTGTTTAATTTTTCAGAAGAAAAGTCGTCGAATTCTACAAATCCACAAGTAGACATTCTACCTCTACCCCAATTAAAGAAACTCCTTGCGGCTGCACTACCGAAGACACGAGTGAAAATATTAATGATTCCTTTCCATGCCACCTGGAGACAGAGTATTTCAGACTCTGCGTCACAGTAATCGGCTAAATAATTAATTGTATAATCGCACAATTTTTTGATGCACGTCATCCTTTAATAACCCACGAGGTATGTAATAAAGGATGATGCGACACCGAATGAGAGCCATTTTAAATCGTTAAGATGCACTAATAATGAGACGTTATTATTATCACCCTGACTTTCCAGTCCGTCTGTTATTATAAATTATTACGATTTGAAGTATTTTTTTATCGAAAGAAAAATAAATTTATTTATTTTTGGATTACATAAAATTTGGCAATGTAAATAATTTTTTCAATTATAAAATTCAACTAAAATATTTTAAAATTAATATTTTGTTTAAAAAAAATTTAATGTTGGAAAGTTGATGCTCAAATTGGTGCGAAATTATTTTCGCTGATGTGTTAAACAAATAAATATATACTGAAAAAAAATATTTTACGGAAAAGATAACTGTCTCTACCAATAATAGTAAAAACAATTTATTAATTCATGATATTAATATTATTAATTAATTAAGATTTTTCAGCATTATGACTATGTTGTATAAATAATTACTAAGTTGTCTTTCTTATCTTTTCTTAAAAAGTAACTTTATATAAAAATATCATATATATTTACGCTGCAAATAAATTTAACACGACTAAAATCTGAGTCGTTTATTATTTTCATAAATAATTATTATGATAAGATTTAAATTATTTTTTTTAAATCTACGCATAATAATAATAAAAAAAAAAAAAAAAGATATAGAAATATTTTTTCATTTATTGAATAATGTAAAATGAATTTTTAATTAATTACTGCAGCGTTAATCCAATTAAATTTGTGTTACTATAATTTTATAAAATTTATTAAACAAAATAACAGATAATTATTTCTTACTTAAGATATTTTTTTTTATTTCTGAGACAAGAATTGAACTTTAAAATCAAACAATAAATAATTATCTATTAAAATAAAATAGAATAATCGTAGGTTGCTTGCTGAACTATACAAGTGTTAGTATAAGTTGATAGTTTTTGTAAAACATCGGTTTTTTTTTTTTTCTGGTTAAACAGATTTATTAGTTAAAATATGTTGCAATTTGTTTACACACTAATTATTCACAGAGTAATAAATAAAACAACTTTTTTTTAATTGTAATAATTAAAATTATGATTATAATAGCTTCGTATGTTCATTTTTAATATAGATGGTAAATAATTATAATTTTTAATTGTTAAATAAAAAAAATCATCAATTTGTCAAGATGGTTATTTATATGTACAAATAAATAAATAGTAATGTACGTTTTTTAACTAATTAAAATTTAATAAATTAATTCGCGATATTTTCACCAATTATTGTTAAATTAGTAATTAATAATAAGAAAAATTTGGCTTAATTATTTTTTTATATTTATAATCACACTATACATAACTTTAAAAATAATAGTACTTTCACAGGATCAATTACAAATAATTTAATGGACAAATGTGACGGAATACATTTATAGAACCAACAAACTGTTAAAAACTCCTCCAAAAACTAGACAAAAAATATATTAGGAACTAAAAGGAACTAATTTTTATCAAGACCTTTCTGGTGATACCAAATTAAACTATAAAATCTCTTTTGAAAATAATAATATGCTCGTCACAAAATTTTTCTTACTCTCTCAATTATTTAAATCATAAATTACTATCGCTGAAAAAATATCAAACTCAATTTATGATGAAGATTAATTATATATAATTAATAATAATCTTTGTTATTTTTTATTTTTAAAAATTAATAATAGAAATACAATTTAAGCTATGAATATTTTTAAACACAGTAATGAATAATTTATTTTTCTTTGAATTAATGATCATGATTGATAATTTTTGTTGGAAAATTTGTAACCCTGATGAGACCTAGACTTGATAAATAATACAATGATGACGTAAATATCAAATGTACGCATGTGCTATCGTATAATTGCAGTGACTACTTTTCCATTCATAAAATCGTTAAATCAATATCGAAGCATGATTCAGCGTACTACGTCTTAAACAACTCAGTTGCCAAGAAACTTTATGAAATTAATGTAACTTGAGCTCTAAAAAAATTTTCATGTACTAACAATGTAATTTGAGCTCTGGGAAATTTTTATTTAAATGTAAATGACATGTAAAACTTGCGGACATGCCGAATGAACCAACAGCTCGGTGGATCGTTCCTCTGCATGATGGAAATCGTGTGGTAGAATTTGAACACGGTACTGCATCTGGTAAGCGAGTAGTCCGTGTCAATGGGAAGACAATTATCAACCGAGAGTGGATGTTCCGTTTAGTTGGCGATGAAGAATTCATGTACGGTGATACCAAATTCACAATACGTGTAGATCCGATCCCAGGTATTATTATTATTATTATTATTATTATTATTTTAATGTTTTCTAAATAAAATATTTAAAAAAATTTTGCTACTTCCTGAATCAGCTCAGCTAATTTAAAAAATACAATTAATTAAAAAGTTAGAAATTACAGCAATTGTAATTTTTAAAAAATTAAGAAAAATTTCAACTTTCACTGTCTCTCCCTACAGTAACTATTAAATGAGATAACTTACTAACTTGCTGTAAATTTTATCTGAAAGCTCATTAAAAAAGCTTCAATTTACATAGCTTCATAATTTCCTAGATCAATAATTTTCAAAGTGACAGCAGTTTAAAAGTTTCAAAATTTTGGAAAATTGTCAATTTTACTAATTCTTGGCGCAATTACTATTCATTTCGATAACTAATTCAATTCTTGCAAACTCCATCCGAAAGCTTATTAAATAAGCTCTTATTAATCTATCTATATATTTAAAAAAAAAAATTTTATATTTTCCGGTCTATTTGATGAAATTTAATCTTAGCATTAGTTTTTACATTTTATTATATTAATTTATTAATGTATTTTCTATGCGTTAGTCTTTATATTATCAGGGTGATTTAATTTTAATAGAAAATCTACTTTCATTTCAGCTGCCAAATGGCACTTTTTTATTTTATATTTAATGCTTGTAGTTATAAATTTATCAACAAGTGTATAAAGTGTTTATTTAAAGGCACCTACTTAATTTATCATTATTATTACAATAAATAAATAAAATTAAATTCTAATTAATTGCTTTGATTGAATCGGTGTTGGATTTAATAGACTGCAAGCGTGATTGACGTTTTTTAAAGGCACGTAATGTAGATTTTTGAATGTGTTTATGTCTCTCGATGCGTTTGTAAGTTTTCTTCATTTCTTCTAGCTCTAACTGCACCCGGATGAAATCAATTACGTCTGGCATCTGTAATTAAATAAATAATTAACATTTTTTCTCAATAATTAATGCTTCAAAGCTACAAAAAATTTTTATTCAAAATAATTTTAAAAGTATTATTTTAATTTTTTAATTTATTAATTGTCTATTTAATATATTTTTATTATGATTTAACTTCAGGTTTAAAATACTCTTATTCACTCTGGGTCAATGGGAAAACCTTCAGTAAATTTGTTCAAGCCCAGTCGAAAATTCTTGAGACATGGATTGCTAAAATTGGTGACAAAAAATATAAAATTATCTTGGATAAAAATTCACTCTCGGTTTGGATGAATGGAGAAGAAATTGAAGTTGAAGTATATAATTATTAATTATTAATTATATTTTAATTTATGACCCTGAAATTAAAAGACATTTGATAAATTTTAAAACACTTTTTTAATAAATAAATAAAAAATTATAAATACAATTTTTAAGAAAAATACAAAAATTCTCAAGTGTGTCTACTATCATCAGTGTCATTAAAATGTATGAAAATTAAGTTAGCTGACTTTTACAAATTTTTAGAATTTTTTTTTATTGATAAATGATTACAAAATAATAAAAAAAAAAATTTCACTTGTAAAAAACTTCAAAAACTGTAAGTGCAATTTAAAAAAAATATTTTTTTGTTCTAATTTAATTATTAAAAAAAAAATTAAAAACGTCGGCTAACTTTTTTTATTATTTAAAATGTCTACAATAATTTTTTTTTTTTTTTTTTTTTTTTTTTATAGAATCAATTTGTCAACGACGGAGCAGAAATGCTTTTTAATATTGAAGGTACACCAGCTGTAATAAGATCTTACAGTTCTCAGCAACACGGTGTTGGTATTAAATATATTCTTTATGTCAACGGAAGTGAAGTTTTGGAAAAAGGCATGCTCTCTGACCATTTGACTCAATAAATAATATAAAATATAATTGTCAATTGATAAATCAACACTTACATTCTTAAAATTTTTTATTCTAAGAGTGCCATTTAATTAAACACAAATAAATAGACTATCTTGAACATATCTAACAATCAGCATTCACTGTCAAATGTCTTAGTGATTTTATATATCTGAACTTTATTTATAACTCTATTGATTATTAATTACAAGCTGAAATTTTTAATTATTGAAAATGTCATCGATTAAGAGAGCCAGCGGTCTGAGCTTTACATCACGAACAACCTTTGGTATTGAAGAAGAACCTCAGTACGATGGTAGTTATTATTGAAATTTAAGTACTTTTTATTTATTAAGTTACTTGGTTATTTATTGTTTTCTTCCTTATTTTCAGATATGACTGATGAAGAATTGAAATCATGTCTAGAGTTATCAATACGGACTAATAGGATATTAAGCTTGGAAAATGATGTCTTTGAACGGTATCTAGCTCATCATGATCCTCAATCTTTACAAAGTAAGTTTTTTTAAATAATAAATTTAGATTTTTTTTTTTTAATTTTAGTCAATTTTTATTTTATAAAATTAAGGGTAGTTATAATTTTTACAATAATTATAAATTTAATAAGAATTTTTAAAAAAATATGAAATTGTTTAATGTGTTGATGAAAATTAGAAAATTGAAAAAAAAAAAATTTTTATTCAACCAAAAAAAAGTAGTGAATTTTTGAAAAAAAAAAATTCAAAAAAATTGAGATAAAAAATAAAATTAATCATAGTTAAGAAATGACCTTGTATTCTTGTGAACTATTGACATTTTTAAAGAAATAAGCTCATCCTGATGTTACACTCATCGAGACCTTTCATTTGAGTACCCACATCGATTTTTCATATATTTTATATATTTATATATGAAAAATATATGAAAATGCATGTGGGTACTCAAATGAAAGCTCTCGCTAAGTGTAACATCAGGATGAACTTATATTTTTAAAAACGGCAATAGTTGAGATAGTACAGTGCAATCTAACATAATTAAGAAATTACCTTTTATCTTGTGAAATATTGACATTTTTAAAGAAATAAGCTCACCCCGATATTACACTCATCGAGGCTTTTCATTTGAGTCCCCACATCAATTTTTCATATATTTATATATGTTATATAATATATATGTATATATGAAAAATATATCAAAAATGCATGTGGGTACTCAAATGAAAGCTCTTGATAAGTGTAACATCAGGATGAGCTTATATCTTAAAAAACTTCAATATTTAAGAAAGTACAGTACAATTTAACAAAATTCATTTTTTATTTTTTTATTTTTTCCAGCAATGACTCAAGTACTAGAAACAGCAAAAATAATATCATCCCAAATGACACAATCATCACCCCGAATCCAATCAAGTGCCGACAGTACTGCAGGAATAAGTCTAACAAAAGCAAGTTCACCTGTATCACCAACCAGCAGCAGCAGTATAAGAACTTTCAGCGGTAGCCGTGGATTTGCGTCAATACTCACGACGAATCCATCACCCAAAGGTCTGCGGTGAGTAGCATTATTATTTTTGCATTGATCCCCAGGCTCGTTTTTCCTCCACATGTGTCTCACATGTCAACTAACTCATTTTTCGATATTTAATGTAGCATCACGCTGTCGCACCGGATTGAAATGGCGAACAAGGAGATAGACGAAATGAAAAAGCAATTGGTGGCATGTGAGAAACAAATTACTAGAAAAAAGTCTAATTTTACTGCCGAGCTGGAAGAAATCGAGCTAAGAATACGAGATATTGATGAAGCGAAAGAACAGTTGGAGATTCATGTTGTTAAAAAAGAAGCTGACAAGACTGGTAAAATATCAGCTGATAAATTTTTGAGGTACATAGAGACCTGGACCAAGGCTGTAGACCGCGTGATTGACAAGCTGAGATTGAAAAGCTTGACGATCAAAAGCCAGATCAAAAAAGCTAGGCTGCAATTGCGTCAGCGAGAAGAACTTGGTGAGACGCTTCATCTGATTGATTTCCAGGCTTTGGCTATTGAGAATGAAGAGTACTTGAAGAAAATTGATGATAAAAACCGCCAGCTTGGTCAGTTGAAGAAAATAACTGGAAGGTATAATATTGAGCTGAGTAATTGCAAGGAACAGTTGACTGAGCAGCAGGCGAGCTTGAAAAATACTCTCAAAGAAATTGATGTAAAAAAAAATCAGATTGAAAAATTGAAAAAGGATTTAGAATTGTCCCAGTTGCATATACAGCAAATGGATGAACAAATTGTGGAAATTACTAAAGCGCTTGATGGTTATAAGGTAAAATTTTTTTTTGAAAATATAATAAAATAATATTAAATAGACAATTAATAAATTAAAAAATTAAAATAATACTTTTAAAATTATTTTGAATAAAAATTTTTTGTAGCTTTGAAGCATTAATTATTGAGAAAAAATGTTAATTATTTATTTAATTACAGATGCCAGACGTAATTGATTTCATCCGGGTGCAGTTAGAGCTAGAAGAAATGAAGAAAACTTACAAACGCATCGAGAGACATAAACACATTCAAAAATCTACATTACGTGCCTTTAAAAAACGTCAATCACGCTTGCAGTCTATTAAATCCAACACCGATTCAATCAAAGCAATTAATTAGAATTTAATTTTATTTATTTATTGTAATAATAATGATAAATTAAGTAGGTGCCTTTAAATAAACACTTTATACACTTGTTGATAAATTTATAACTACAAGCATTAAATATAAAATAAAAAAGTGCCATTTGGCAGCTAAAATGAAAGTAGATTTTCTATTAAAATTAAATCACCCTGATAATATAAAGACTAACGCATAGAAAATACATTAATAAATTAATATAATAAAATGTAAAAACTAATGCTAAGATTAAATTTCATCAAATAGACCGGAAAATATAAAATTTTTTTTTTTAAATATATAGATAGATTAATAAGAGCTTATTTAATAAGCTTTCGGATGGAGTTTGCAAGAATTGAATTAGTTATCGAAATGAATAGTAATTGCGCCAAGAATTAGTAAAATTGACAATTTTCCAAAATTTTGAAACTTTTAAACTGCTGTCACTTTGAAAATTATTGATCTAGGAAATTATGAAGCTATGTAAATTGAAACTTATTTAATGAGCTTTCAGATAAAATTTACAGCAAGTTAGTAAGTTATCTCATTTAATAGTTATTGTAGGGAGAGACAGTGAAAGTTGAAATTTTTCTTAATTTTTTAAAAATTACAATTGCTGTAATTTCTAACTTTTTAATTAATTGTATTTTTTAAGTTAGCTGAGCTACTGTCACTTTGAAACTTATTGACGTAGGAAATTATAAAGTTATGTAAATTGAAGCTTATTTAATGAGCTTTCAGGTAAAATTTACAGCAAGTTACTAAGTTATCTTATTCAAAAGCTATTGCAGGGAGAGACAGTGAAAGTTTCAATTTATTGCTGTAATTTCTAAACTAATCGACTGATTTATTTATTTTTCAAATTTGACCTTGTAAATCCTCCTCAAAATAAGTATTCTACTTTTTCTAAAGATTTGATAATAATTGAACGAGTTATCATAGAAACAAGTCCGGTTCTCGCTTATATAAATACATTCATATACTTTTAATAGTATTTTTTGAAGCTGAACTGAGTCAAATCTTTTTAAATTGGCATTATGAAGAAAAATGCAATAACTTTCTCTGAAATCTACCAAAATATTCGAATGATCAAGAAGAATATTCTTCTTAACTTATAATTTGTGTTTGCCTTAACATACTCTGTTTATTTCAACAATGAACAATGATAGTAACAAGAGGATAATGCAATTATCCCAACGGTAGCTATTATCACAATATTCCACCGTCACAAATTGCACTGACAATGTGTCCAAGACTTAAGTAATAAAGAGCTGGCGATGTCCATCGTGAGCGGAAGATCCCACAGGAAATAGACATCGAGAAGTATCTAGTCGATCATATCGCAATTTATTTATAAATAACTACTAGCAATTTTTAAATAATTAATTTTCCATGTACTTAAAACTCTCCAGTATTATATCCATAATCTTTTAAATGTGCTAAGTACCGTTGAAAGTAAAATCGGGTAATTATCTACACAAGGAGGATTTTGAGGTCAAAAAAGGGAAACCTAATGTCCCGTTATTGAGGATTTTAAAGAAGATAACGTGCATAGTTATCGTATGTCTAATGCAGGGAAGAAATAAACAAGGTAAATAGATTTTGGCTCGTGCCATGGTGCGTTAGTTGCAGTCACGCTTCACGCTTCGATGATGCCTGTCCCTTCCTCTAGATTTGTTCGTTTAAATTATAGCTAGCATCTTGGACGATTCTGTTCTTCAGTTTTAATTCTACCAGCATACGCGAAGAATCTTTCTTACTGTACGACAATAAGATTAATTATCCTAAAACTGGTATTTATTTATTACTCCAGTTTGCTAATGACTGAATAATAAATCAATACGCGGTTGCTATCCTCTGTAACTGGTGAATAACTGCTTCAGACAATGTAATAAAATTTTATTACAATATATAAATAATAAAAATGATTAGATTTATTTTATTCTGTGTAAGTGTTCTTTTTCTCGAGAATTGTCATGCCCGTTACTTGGAGGTAAATGTTATTTTTATTAAATATTTTTTGTCGTAAATTTTACGGGTAAGTTATTTGTATACACATTGTTTAGAAAGAGTAATTTTATTTTTTTAATTGTCTTCAGGGCCTCAATCTTAACTTGGGTGAAGCTTTACAATTTTTACGGGAGTATGATCAAGAAGCTTCTGGGGTTTGTAATAAAGTTATGACAGCTCAGTGGAATTTTGCTACTAATGTTACTGATGTTAATCGCAGGAAAATGGTAAGAATTTTTTTTTAATTATGGTTGTAAATAAATCAGAAGAATTTTTTTATTTTAAAAATTTATAATACTAAAATTAGCAGACGTTTTTTATTTTTACTTATTAAATTAGAACTAAAAAATTTTGCTTATAGTTTTTTACAAATTAAAATTTTTTTTAATAATTTTTTCAATAAAAAAAAAATTCTATAAATTTTTAGAACTTAATTTTCATACCTGTCCAAGTGCCTAAGCGATAAGAAGAATCTTTAGGAAGTGAGAAAAACATTGAAGTCGCTAAAAATTTTCACAAAAATATAATCTAGTCCCAATTTCTAAATTGTAGTCCAAATTTTTAGCTATTATTGTTTCACCAGTAATTATTATAGTTCAAAATATTCATGCATGTGTAATTGCTTAATAATTGTTTATTAGTAAAAATTATAATTGCAAAAGTAAAAATAATAATTGCTTAAAATATTCATTTTATTATTTTCTATGTATTTTAAAAATATTATTTATAAATGATGTTTATGTGACTATTAAATAAACTAAAATAAAAAAAAAAATTTATAATATTGAAATAATAAAGCTATCTGATAATTTTTAGAATTTTTTTTTTTAGTAAATAAATTATTAAAAAAAATTCAACTTAAAAAAATGTTTTCTTCTTAATAATTTATTTTTTTTTAAAAGTTCAAAAAATAGAAAATTAGTCCACTAATTTTAGCTTCCCAAAATTTTATTTTTTTTGTTTAATTTCTTTTAAAAAAATTAATTTGTTTTAACTCTGATCAAATGAACTAATTAAAAACTAAATTTTAATTTTTTTTCAAAATACTTTAAAATATTGAAAATACTTTTTAATTTCTTCTTTTATAAAAAAAAAATGGTCAATTATCTTATTTTTAACCAGGAAATAGTCAGAACAAATAATTTAACATTAAAAATTTTACAGTTGGAAGAACAAACAACAAAGTTAAAATTTGAAAGATCGTCATGGCGTAAAGCAGTTAACTTTGCATGGACTAGAGTACCTGATCCATTAGCGCGAAGACAATTAAAAATGATTACCATGAAAGGAAGAAATGCGTTGACTCAGGATAAATTTAATGAAGTAATTATTCCAGTAATTAAAAATTCAAATAAAAATTATTAGATCGTATTTTGTATAAATAATAAATAAAAAAATTATTTCTTCTGTAGATTCATCACTTAATTGTAGAGATGAAAGAGCTTCATAGCAGAGCCCGACTTTGTCCATACAAAAAAACAGGCATCACTTGTGACATGGACATGACTGCAGAAGTTTCAAAAATAATGGCCCAGTCTCGAGATTATGAAGAATTACTTCACTACTGGCGCGCTTGGCACGAAGCTGTTGGACCTCCTTTAAAAAATAAGTACATGAGATACGTTCAACTGGCCAACCAAGCTGCAAGACTCAACGGGTTCACTGACGCAGGAGACCAGATGCGTGAGGCCTTTGAAGATGATTACTTTCAGCAGAATATTGCAGAAGTTATTTCTGCGATAAACCCGCTGTATAAAAATCTCTTCACCTATGTGAGGACCAGATTGATTGATAGGTATGGTGATAAACTCAGACCTGATGGTCCTTTGCCTGCGCATCTGCTAGGAAATATGTGGGCGCAAAACTGGGAGGGAATTTATGATTTAGTGGAGCCTTTTGCTGGAGCTAGACGATTTGATGTTACTCTGGAAATGATTATTCAAGGATTTACTCCATTGAGGTGTTTTAATTATTGTTAATAATTTTTTTTTATTTATGATACTTAAATTAGCAGACATCTGACAATTTTTGGAGTTTTTAAAACCAACCAATTATTTTAAAAAAACTTTGCACTTGTAATTTTTTTAAATTTCTACATGTGCAATTTTTTTGTTAATTTTTTTTCAATATAATTTTACCTATTATAGAAATCAAATCACATATGAAATTTTTTTATAATTTATTTTATTGAAAAAAAATTAAAAGAAAAAATTTCACTTGTAGAAAATTTAATATATATTTTTTTAGTTCTAATTTAATTGATAAAATAATTAAAAATTGTTGAACGTTGGCTAATTTTAGTATCATTTTAATTTATTCATTAAATTATTTTTTAATTTATTGATACTTTAGAATGTTTCAAGTAGCAGAAGATTTTTTTACCTCACTTGGAATGAAACCAACTCCTCCAGAATTTTGGAGATTTTCAATGTTTGAAAAACCTATTGACCGGGAAGTTAAATGTACTGCTAGTGCTTGGGATTTTTGTAATAAAATAGATTACAGGTAAATTATTTATTAGGAATTTAATAAATCAATTTGACTTTTAAAAAAATACCAATAATTAATTCAGCGATGATTAGGCTCTTTACTGAGCCTTTATCAAGCATCTAAAACATACCCAATATTAGAAAATATTAACTAACTAAAAATATTTTATACCAACCCTTATTTTCTATATTATCAATAATTATACAATATAAATTTAGCTTAATTTATAATGTATATAATAAGAAAAAAAATATTGCATAATATTCTTCTGATAGTATATTACAATTACTAAAATTGGTATATTTTATTCAAAGATTAAAATTTGTCTCTCAATTTTATAATACACTGAGAAAAAATTTATTTAAAAAAAAAATAAGCAATTTTGTAATAAAAAATTAATTTATTTAAAATTTTAAACAATTATTATTTCTTCATGTCTAGATTTGGAAAAATTCTAGATTTAGAATTTTTTTTTTCCTAAATCTAGAAAACTTTTTCAAAAAATTAAATGTGAGAAAAATTTTTATTTCTTCAGTTAAGAAATAAAAAATTGTTTAAAATTTTTTTTCTAATTAATTTTTTATTACAACATTATTCATTTTTTTCCAAACAATTTTTTTCTCTTAGCCTACCAATTATTGGTGCTTTAAAATATTTCTCCAGACTTCTAAATATAATTTCCAAAATTTCAACTGCTTGATTCTCTTCAGAATCAAGCAGTGTACAAAAGTAACAATGGAAGATTTGCTGTCAACCCATCACGAAATGAGCCACATCCAATACTACCTCCAGTACAAAGACCAACCATATATTTTCCGGAATGAAGCTCTTCCAGGGTTCCATGAAGCAGTCAGCGACGCGATAGAGCTCTCAGTAATGAACCCACGACATTTCCAGAGAATAGGCTTGTACAATAATTCAACTGAAGACTACGAGAGCAACATTAATTTTCTGATGCTGATGGCGCTGCGTAAAGTGGTTTATTTACCCTTCGCTTACATAATTGATCAAGTGGGTCAAGTATTTTATTTGCTCAATAATTAATGCTGATCACAATTATAATTAGAAATATTAATCAAAAATATTCTAGTGGAGGTGGCGGGTATTCAGCGATGGAGTAGCAGATATGACAACTCGCTGGTGGGAATTGCGGCTCCAGTACCAAGGAATTGTCCCACCTCTTCCAAGACTCGAGCGTGACTTTGATCCGGGTGCTAAGTATCACATACCAGCTGATATTCCTTACACGAAATATTTCGTAGGAGCTGTTTTGCAATTTCAATTATTTGAGTCTCTGTGTGACATATCAGGTCATGTTGGTGAATTGCACTTGTGTGATATTTATCGGTCACAAGAAGCTGGTCGATTATTGTCGTAATTATTTTTCCTATAAATTATAAATAGATAAATTTTGTTTAAAATTATTAAAAGTTTTATATAATTATTTTTTTGCAGAGAAATATTGTCTCAAGGATCATCAAGAAATTGGCATGAAGTCGTTCGACTAATGACCAGAGGAAAGATGGACCGAATTGATGTTGGTCCTATGTTGAGATACTTTGAGCCTTTATTCAAATGGTTGCAACGACAGAATGAAATTGAACCGATCATTGGATGGATTACTAGCCAAGATGACACTTGTAAGTTTATAAAAATATAATCAAGACTCATTTAGAAAAAAAATTTTTAAGTACTGAAGATTAATTTTCTTTCAGCGCTATTCGCTCACTGGTACAGAAGTTCTTCAGAAAAAGTAAAAGCTTGGTCACTGAGCATATTAATTCCTCTAATTATTTGTCTAGTGCGATGACAAATTAATTGGCTTTAAATTTTGTACATAACAGCCGCTTTGATAGTACAAGTGAAGATATTTATTGATAACTTATTGCAGATTAATTTTTACAGTTTATAAATTTATATGAATAAAAAAGATATTGGAAGTAATAATAATGATATTGAAATTAGCAGACATCCGACAATTTTTAATTTTTTTTAATTAAAAAATTATTCACATAGAATTTTTTAAAAAACTATAAATGCAATTTTTCAAAAATTTTTTTTTAGTTTTAATTTAATTGATAAAAAAAAAATCAAAAAATTGTTGAACGTCTGCTGATTTCAGTATTAGAATTAAATGACACTGAAATTAGCAGATATCTGATAGTTTTTAGAATTTTTTTTATTTTAAAAATTATAACAAAAAAATTTCACTTATAAAATTTTTTAAAAAACTGCAAGTGCAATTTTTCAAAAATGTTTTTTTAGTTTTAATTTAATTGATAAAAAAAATTATTGAACGTCTGCTAATTTCAGTACCGGAATTAAATGACACTGAAATTAGCAGATAATTGTTAGGATTTTTTTTTTATTTAAAAAATTAAAAGAAAAATTTTACATATAAAATTCTTCAAAAAACTATAAGTGCATTTTTTCAGAAATGTATTTTTAGTTTTAATTTAACTAATAAAAAAAATTATTAAATGTCTGCTAATTTCAGCATCAAGAATCAAAACTATCCTGCATGAATAGCAGTCATAAAAAATGAGATTACAATTTAACAGAATAACTTTATTTTGGTTTAACTTTTTACTCTTTTTTCCATATCAAAGTTTTATTGTTAGCCGGCATGTCAAACATTTCAACAAGCTTAATACCATTATCCGCTGCTAACTTTTCCAAATCTCTGATATCTCTTATCCCCCAGCGAGGATCCCTAGACTTGAGTGTCTTATCAAATTGAACATTGCTCTCAGGAGTGATTTTCCCATCTACAGCATAAGGCCCGTAGGTAATAAGCGTCCCATTGGGCTTCAGAAGTTCTCCAGCATTTTTGAACAAGCCTACAGAAGTCTCGAACGGTGAAATGTGAACCATATTAGAGTTGTAGATATAATCAATGCTGCTTTTCTTGAAAATTCCATCACCCCAAGTGGTGTAGTTTGTCGTGATGTCAATGAGGAGCGGCTCGTGGACATTCGTAAAACCGGATACATAGGTAGAAATACTCTCAAGCGATTCCTGATCGTACTCAGAGGGGTAGAAAGTTACCTGAGGAAAATTCGGGGCAAAGTGAGCCATGTGCTGGCCAGTGCCCGAAGAAATTTCCAGGAAGACTTGATTTGCTCCAGGACATATTATTTTTTTAAGAACATTCAAGATCGGTTCTTTGTTCCGGTCTGCTGCTGGGTGGATTATCTTTTTAGCCGAATCTGCGGCAAACCTACAATTAAATTCATTAATTAAAAAAATATTCAATTAAATTAAAATAATAATTAAAAATACTTGCCTACGGTTGACAATAGCATGAATCGCGTTCATAACTTAACTCTGGATCAGTGATCTGAAATATTAAAAAATAAACCGAATAAGAAAATACTTTATTACTAACAATTAAAAAAAAAATTATATTTTTTAATATTAAATAAAAATTATTAATTAAAAGGGACTGAATAATTTTATAATACGGTTCCAGATAAATAAGTATATAATAAAAATACGATCAGGATCACGGGTAGTTGGAAAAAAACAGTTAAATCTCTCAACAATGTCTAAACGATCGTCAGTTGACTGTTAGACTAGTTAGTAAGCACATGCTTGGAAGGTTTATTTTATCAATCGTTTTATAATTTGTTATAAATATTGTTGTGTTTCTCAAATTACCAATGAAAGATCACGTATGTATTAATTTAATTTGACGATCGTTTAGACATTGTTGAGAGCTTGACAAAATCTTAAGAGTAAAGACGAAACGTTGCAAATCAATGATTGTTTAAATTGACTTGAATAATTTTTCAGCAATCAACTTTCTATTACAATAAATTTTTTATTTATAAATCACCTGCGTTACAAATAAATATATACATATTAAAAATTAATTATCAACTAAATATTTAACCAACTCAATCACTATCATCAGAAATCGTTGATTTTTTAGACCTATCATTTTTCTTCTTACTTTTGGCAACACTTGATAAGTACATAGCATGTCCAGTTTTTTTCAAATGATCATGCAGTTTATTTTTACTCGGAAATTCAGCTTTGCAAGTAACACAGCAATGTTCAATATCCTCAACATCCTCCTTCAATTTATTCTTCCCCGATTTTCTCGCTTCTTTAGCCTTCTTTCCCTTGATTTTTTCCTTGACCTTTTCATCATCATCATCTTTACTCTGAACCTTAGTTTCTTCTTTCTGTTTCCCCGCCTCTAAATTCTTCCTCCTCCTCCGCTGTTTCTTAGACAGACTTTCCAAATCAAAATCTTCTATACCCTGCTCCTCTTCCTTATCCTTCTCCTTCTCCTTCTCCTTAATATCCCCCTCTGCATCTCCATCATCATCTTCTTTCTTCCCCTCAAAATTTCTCCTCCGCCTCCTCTGTTTCTTGGACAACCCAGCATCAAAATCAAACTCATCATGATCACTGTCTTTAACAATCCTCGCTTTTTTTTTATTCTTCTTCTTTTTAGTCCCCGGCGTCATAACTTCATCCTGATCATCCTGATCAGACATCAGTTCACCCTCAGAAGCTTGTCCATCATCTTCAACAGGTTCTTCCGAGCCCGGAAAAATAAAACCACCCATCTGAGGTTCAGCTACATGAAACTTCTTCTTAGTTTTTTTTTTATTTTCATCCTCCACCTCATCTTCATCTTCATCAGAAATCTTTTCTTCCTCCGAAGTAGACTTGGAGCTTTTATCCTCAAACATTTTATCATCATCCATCATAACATTCTTCATAACCGCAACATTCTCCTTATGCTTCTTGGAGTTCTCATGATTAACAAAAGCCTTGGGCGTTTTAAAATGTTTATTACAAGCAACGCAGTACAAAATATCCGACTCGCTTTCTTCATTATCATCTTCCGAGTCACCAGACAGTTCATCTCCAAATTCAGCAGCTAAATTAGCTTCAATAGTCTTCAATTCATCCTCAATATTAGAAAATTTACACCAATCAGACTCCTTGTGCTCCTGGAGCTGCTTCTTCCTCTCCATCAGCTGCTGAATCGACCTTTCTTGAGCTTTCTTAGCATTCAACTCAGCTTTCTTAGCAAGTTCCTGAGCATGCAGCTGGACTCTCTTGTCTCTCTTGCGAACAAAAGCGACTAAATTCCTCACCTGCTCATTCCTTTCTCTCTTGGCTTTGTCCCGTACCTTTTTATTGGCCTTCTCACACAGCCTCAAGTACTGTCTGTTAGGAACGTCCCTGATGTCATATGGATCCAGCCAGGCAAACGACCTCTTAGTTGAATAACTCTGCCAGTAAGCGTAAAAAGGATGAACTACTTCCTCCCAGGAACTTTTGGAGTCTCCAAACCCGGGAATTTCTTCATCTTCAGCAAACTCTAAATCTTCTGCAGCTAGCTCTTCAAACACGTGCCGGTAAACTGAGTAGAATCCGTTCTTGTCGTCACCGTAGCCCTTGAAACAACTCGGAGAAAAATACTGGAACAAATCTATTGAGTCGTCTTTGTAATCCTCTCCAATTCCGCCTTTTAGAATCGCCTCCCGGTGGTTGTCGTACCACGCGCGCTCATGTGGGTCACTTAGAACTTCATACGCCTGCTGGATCAATTGAAATTGTTCCTTGGCAGTCACCTGGTTTGTTGGATTTTTATCCGGGTGCCATTTTAGCGCTAATTTACGGTACGCTTTTTTTAACTCCTCGTCGCTGACGTCTCGAGGAACTTCCAGGACTTCGTAGTAACACTTCATTTTTTAACTGTGGTTTTTATAAATTATTTTAAATAATATAATTTATTTTATTATTATTATCACTTAAATTAATTTAACTTTTATTTTTTAAATTAATTTTTTTATAACCTTAAAATCAACTCGTGGTGAGAAAATTTATGACAACACTTATTTACTTTATTAAATATATGTAAGTATTAATAAATATAAATATTTAAATAATTGTACCTTTTTTTAATGTTTTATTGTTACAATAATTTTTATTTTTTTTTAAACAAAACTTTAATTGTTTTTAGTTTTTTATTTACTAATTGTCAGATTTACTTTTGAAATATTTTTATAATACTCAAGTCAGCTGGACATCTGATGATTTCTAGGATTTTTTTAAACAAATAAATTATTAAAAAAATACTAAAAAATTTCACTTGTAGATGTCAAAAAAATTTATTGTTGCTTTTTTTAAATGTTTTTTTTTTTTTAATATTAATTAACTTGTTGTAAAAATCCAAAAAATTGACAATTGTCAGCTGACTTCAGCTTGATTAATTTTAAATAGTAAAAAATAGAACACACGCTTTATCGACGGAGAAAAATATTTACTTGCACTGTAAATAGATGGCAATAAAATGTCTATTAAGAATTGGTAAGATATATAATATATATGTGAGATATATATAATTTTTATATATTTGGCAGCAGACAAAATGTCTCTGGTAGTAGAATCGTAGTAGTACTTGACATTTATATTTTGGCATATTTTGCCATTAATCTTTCATATTCAGTTGCTGTCAACCGAATAAACAGGTAATTTTTAGTACAATAATTACAATTAAAATAAATAAAAAAATAATAACTTTAAATTTATTTAATTAAGTATTTATATGTACGCAGTGTAATAAAAATTAGACACTACTTGTCAGTCTGATTGGCATCAATGCCAACAATCAATGTTTTGTTTTTCTTTTGCTTTATTTATTTTATTTGTTGTAATTGTTATTATTAAATTAAAAGTAAGACTAATAATTTTTTTTAGGTTGACTCAACATGACGGACGAAGGAAGTTTAGTGGTTCCAATAGTGCTTTGGGGTAAAGTACCACCCACCCACTGCATATCATGCATGTACTTGTCTCGTGATCAGAAGACCTTGGTCACGGGATGCTACGATGGTCACGTTTGTTTATGGCAGGTTGATCCTGAAACACTCAAGGTAATTTTTTTTGACATTGTGTAATTTGCGTGTGTTTTAATTAACAATTGTCATTTAAATCTTTGGTATTTATTTATTATCTGACAGATGACACCCAGAAGTCTGATGGTCGGACACACAGGTGCGGTGATGTGTCTCAGTCGGGCCAGTGATGTTTTGGAGCTGGATTACATCGTCAGCTGCAGCGAGAACGGGGAAATGTGTACCTGGGATCTGGTTAATGGAAATTGCAGAGAAAATGTCAAAATTGCTTACATTCACACTCAGATGTTTGCTTATGTTTCTACAGGCAGTGATAAAGTTTCATTGTTTTGTTCTGGGTAATTTTTATAACATAATTTTTTTAATGTAAATTAAGTAATTAAGTTAACCGACATTTGAAAAGTTTTAGAATTTATTTTTATTGAAAAAATTATAAAAACTTTTCAGTTGTAAAAAACTAAGTGCAATTTTTAAAATACATTTTTTTTTTTCTAATTTAATTAATTAATAAAAAATTAAAAACGTCGGCTAACTTTAGTATTATATATCTTAATTAAATTTTTCTAAATTCAAAATTTACAGAAAAATTATGACATTAAAATTAGCAGTCACTTGATAATTTTTTAATTTTATTTAATAAACAAATTATTTTTTAAAAATTGTATTTATAATTTTTTAATATTTCTACAAGTCTATATTTTTTTTTGTCATAATTTAATTGTTATACTACTATAGAAAAATTTTTAAACTCTCTTAGTTTTTATAATTCTATAATGTAGCGATTTAATGAAATTATTTATAGTCGATTTATGTACATATTTTTGTAACTTAAACTTATACTGTTTATATCAATTTTATTTTCTTCCACTTGAAATTATTTATATGCTTAATCTTCAGTCTATTTTTAAGCAAAGTACACAGAAAAAAAAATTTCTTGACTGGAGAACAAAATTCTTGGCTCAAGAAAATTTTCGGGTGCCTGAAAGAAGACCGAAGTAAAAATTTTTATTGAAATTCTATTCTTGGTGGAAATAATTTTTTCTTAATTCAAATTATCATAAATATTTGATATAATAAATTTTCCTGGCTCAAATGAACCTTTTTTTCTGTGTACTTAATTCTCAAGAATTAATTAATTTATTTATTTATTAACATTAATTAGAATTTAATTAATTGCAAATTAAAAATTATCTTTTTAAAAATTTTTAGTAATTAATTTTAATTCTAAACTAAAAGTAAAAAAAAAAATTTTTAATCAAGTCACAAAAAATAAAATAATTAATTAATTAATAATAATAAAAATTATTCCAGGTATTATCCAGAAGTGTTAGTAATGGACCCATTCAGTTTGGAAATATTATATACGTTAAGTTCACGTGTAAATCCAGACTGGATTAGCGCATTACAAGTACTGAGGCCGGCCAAACGGAAAGGTCGGTTCTTAGTACACACAAGTTAGTTACAATTCATCTCACCTACGCTTACCTCCCTTATTACTATTATTTTTTAATTATTATTATAAATGTTATTACTAGTATTGATACTAATTAAAACAACTTCTAAAATTTTTATTTAATTTTTAAATTACAAATTAATCAAGTAAAAAGTAATTGCAAGAGCACATTCCACTGTAAAATATAATAATCAATAATTAATAACAAGTAATTAGTCTTCTTTAACGTCACTATAGATTTGATCTCTGAGCAGCAATATATATTTTAAAATAATTGTGAGAAAAATATTATCGCCCGTGATTGATATACAAATTACTGTTGTATACTAACAAGATGAAGATTTTTTTAATAACAAAAATATTTTTTAGCTTCTGGGATAAAGAGTTGAATATGTTTAGCGGTTAACAATTATTTAATTACAATTACAATGTTGCAGCATGTACTTGAAAAAGAAGGGCTGGTTCTAAATACCGGTAGAACACTTTTTTTTGGAATCTTCAATCGGATTTAAATATCTGACCTTTGTGCCTTTCATTCATCATTTCAATTAATATTAAAAATCCTATCATTAATCATTAATCATTATCATAAATCATTATCAAAAATCATAAAAAACTTTCATAACAATTAATGAATTTTCTGCCTACATTTAAAAGAACTTTACAAAAAAAAAAAAATAATTATCAATAGATAAATACTTATGCACTCATAAAAATTTTTGTTTGTAATAAGTAATCATTTTTGTGTTTGTTATCTGTAGTAATTGTTTACCAACCGCTTACTTTTATTTAAGTGCCAACGCTTGCTTCTAACAAATTAAATAATATTTTTTAAAATTAACAATTAAAGGCTGAACAAACTAAACATTTCACAATAATTAAATCTAAGGTTTTTATCGCTTGGTTATCAATTAATTTTATTTTTTATTTTTTAAAAATTCTCCACTTAATTAAAAAGCAACCATTTTATTTAATATTTAAAAACTTGGCATGTTTGCGTTTTATTTTAAAAATATAATTTTTTTTTTAAAACCGCATGAGAATGTTGAAAATTAATAATAATAAAGTTAGCCGACATTTTTGATTTTGCTTAATTTATTAAATTATAACTAAAAAAAATATTTTTAAAAAATTGCACTTATAGTTTTTGAAGTTTTAACAAATTGAAAAAAATTTTTTTTTATTTTTTTGTAATAATTTTTTAATAAAAAAAATCAAAAATTTTTAGATGCCGGCTAATTTTATTTTCATTGAAAATTAAATTAGCCATCGAAAAATTTTTGTAATTTATATTATAGAAAAATTATTAAAAAAAAAAAATTTCAATTGTAGAAAATTTAAAAAACTATATATGCAATTTTTTAAAAATATTTTTTTAGTTCTAATTTAATTAATAAAAAAAATCAAAAATTTTTTAACGTCGGCTAATTTTAGTATCATATGAGAATGCATTAATTGCATTGTGTAATCATGGGCAGAGAAATTCGATTTATTGAATAATTGATCTCGATTTCGATTAAAATTACGATCGTTAGATTCATTTGTGTTTTAAAACTGATAATGTTATGAATAAATTAAAATTAAATTTAATGAAACCATTCGCTTTAACTGTTCATAAATAAATACTTTAGATTGTAAGGATATAATTGCGATGGCTGATTAATTTATTTTTAAAGATGACGTGGTGCTTGCTATCACGACAACGGGTACTGTCAAGGTGTGGTCGCTGTTTGGCAAGGAGCAACAAACCAAGGAGCCGATTTATGAGAATGAGAGCAAACAGATTAAGTGTATGAATGCTCTTGCGATGACCTGCTGTGCTTACAATCATCGCACAGTTTTGCTTGTTAGTTCTGGTAGTTGGCAGGTAATTTTTCCATTCTTAAATATTTTTTTATTAATAATAATATTCATTTTTAATATCAATTTATTTTTACCAGGTCTACGATGCTGCTGATTTTTCATTACTTTGTTCTGTGAATGCACCTCAAAAAGAGCGTTGGGTTGCTGGAGATTTTCTATCCACTGATCAAGTACTAATTTGGACTGATGAAGGTCATGGTTACATCTATAAATTACCATCAAAGTGCGTAATATTTTCAAAATTTCTCTTACATAATTATATGAATAATTAGTCGTGTGAAAAAAATTATTTTTTTATTTTAATCAAACATTTTTGAGAACAATTTAAAGTAACGCATTAGGGGCAGCCAGAATTATTAAGAAAAAATATTTTTTGTAAATATTTACAAGTATGGTGAACCATTTTAATTTTCATTTTTTTAAACAAAATTTCTATTTGATTTTATTGATATATATTTTTTTTTTTTGAAAAAGACGTAAAAAAATCAAAATCTTTACTTTTTTCTTTCATATTTTTTATTATAAATGCGCCGTAAAAACAAGGAGAAAAAAAAATTTTTAAATGTTAATTTTTCACCTAGATATGGCCAAAAATGGGGTTGACCCCACTTGTAAATAATTACCAATTTTAAAACAAAAGTTATTCTTATAAAATTGAACTAAAATTCATATTTTTTTAAAAAAAAATCAAAATCTTTACTTTTTTCTTTCATATTTTTTATTATAAATGCGCCGTAAAAACAAGGAGAAAAAAAAATTTTTAAATGTTAATTTTTCACCTAGATATGGCCAAAAATGGGGTTGACCCCACTTGTAAATAATTACCAATTTTAAAACAAAAGTTATTCTTATAAAATTGAACTAAAATTCATATTTTTTTAATTATATATAAAAATATGACAACTTTTTTATAATATTTTTTTTTTTAATTGTTCAAATTTAATATCATTAATCAATTTTAAACATAATGTAACTTAATACCATTAATTTTTTTTTTAATACATTTAATTAGTGTAAAAAAAAAAAAAATACAGAATAATTTTTTTCCACGAATAAAATAATTAGCAATAATAAAATCTAAAAATTTCGGTATCATAATCATTGTCATAACCATTAATTCATGCGTATTTTAATAATTCAAGAAAATTAACACAGAGTATTTAGGATGGGGAGAGAAAGCAGTGTAAAGAAAAACTAACGATGAAAAAGAAATCATATCGTCTTTCAATTCATTAATTATGTTATGTTAAGTCTCAACGTCTGATTTATTACATCCATTTATATTTTGTTTACGGTGATGTTTCTTTTCATATAATAATTCGATTACTTCTACCTACAAAATCTCCGGGGGACTTGGTCTATTGTAGCAAGCTGAAGGGCAAGGCTCTCAGCAGGTAACCCGTTATAACCATTTACATAACTACCTATATAATTTTTCGCTAACTCTACCTCTTTAATCTTATCTTCATCTCACCTATATAATAGTAACTCTCCATATCTTTAATTTAACATAACTAACTATTGTCATTCCTTCATTACATCTTCACTTCATAAACCTTTTTTATCACAATTGTATCAATTTTGTGGATGGTTTGGTTTTTATTCCTGTGTGTCCTACTTTGATGTCGTTCAGACGTTCTAATTTATTTGTGTTGGTGTGTTCACTACTAGTCCAAGTAGCTTTTAACTAGTTGGAATTTCAATGAATAATAAATTTAAACTAAGCCTGCTTTATCATTTTTAATAGTTTTTATTAATTATACAGCAGCGTTGCGGAGAATCATGACTTTCATACATCTTCAATCGAGAGTGATCAACCCTACAGTTTTTGTACTCTGTCTTATCCGGGTGAAAAGGTAAATTTATTTAAAAATTAAGGTCAATGCTCTAAATATTGACCAGTTTAGATAAAATTAATATAAATATAATACTTTTTTTGAAGCCATACTTATATTAAGTACATTGGATAATTTTCAACATCAATTTTTTGGCCAAAGTATTATGTGAACTGTTGACATTTGTAAAAATATAAGCTCATCTCGACATTACACTCATCGAGAGCTTTCATTTGAGTACCCACATCAATTTTTCATATATTTATATATATCATATATATGTATATATGAAAAATATATCAAAATGCATATGGGTACTCAAATGAAAGGTCTCGATGAGTGTAATGTCAGGATGAGCTTATTTATTTAAAAATCTCAATAGTTAAGAAAGTACAGTGCAATTTAACAAAAGTCATTGTTTAATTAAGCAAAATTTTATTTATTTATAATTCACAATTCTCAGCAGTCACTATGTGACTGCAGGTTGCTAGTAGTTATTTATTGATCATGAAGTAGTTAATTTTATGACACTAAAGTTGACAGATAGAAATTTTTTTTATAATTTTATAGCAATTAAATTATTGTAATTGATTCATTATAAAAATTGACAGTTGTCAACTTCAATATCACTTTAATTGTATATTTTAAATTTCAAATTAAATTTTAAGAATTTTTGTAACAAATAAATTATAGCAAAATAATAGACATATAGAAAATTTAAAAAATTAAAAATGCAATTTTTAAAAAATAATTTTTTGGAGCAAATTACTTTGTCAATTAATACAAAAAAATTGTCAATTATAAATGTTGACAATTAAAATGTAATTTTCAAGTATATCCAAAAACTGATAATTACATATTGACTATAAAATTAAATTGTTATGCTGACTGGTCAATATTTTCTTCCTTTACTCTATTTCTTTTTTTTTTTTTTTTTTTTTATATTGTTAACTTATTAAATAAATTATTTCCTAAAAAATTTCAGCCTTTGTCATGCCCACCAACGATGAAACTAGTGACAGCAACGCGCCAAAACAAGCCAGTAAAATATTTAATTCGCGGAGACAGCGAGGGCGTGATAATGATTTGGACCGTACCAGAGATGACAGTCCAGCAGATTGCCGAAATCAACAAAAGCGATTCAGTACCAATAATGCCGCCGTCAATAATCACCAGCTTATCAGCCGCGTGGGAGGCTATGAAACCACCACCAGTAGGAATTCTCGACCAAATGGACACAGGAGAGTCGATAAAACTGACAGCTTGTATATATTTGCCCCAACAAAGTCGGCTGGTTGTTGGTCGCGAAGATGGTAGCATCATAATTGTCCCAGCTACGCAAACAGTAATGCTCCAATTGCTGCATGGAAATCATCAGCATTTCGACGACTGGCCACCCCATCAAGTTCTCATGGGACACTCTGGACGTGTTAATTGTCTCTTGTATCCTCACAGCCATTCTCCTCGATACGACCGTACGCATTTAGTTTCTGGGTCTGTTGACTTCGCGGTTTGCTTATGGGATCTTTATACTGGGAATATGATCCACCGATTCTGCGTCCACGCCGGTGAAATCACGCAATTGACAATCACTCCTGATAATGCTAGTGTAAGTGTTTTTGTAAATTAAATTTTTCTATCAATCAATCATTAGTTTAATTAATAAATGATTTTTTTTACAGCCACGAATACAAAAATGTATATGCAGCGTAGCTTCAGACCACAGCGTGACTCTTCTATCTTTGGCTGAAAGAAAATGCGTCGTACTTGCTTCGCGTCATTTATTCCCAGTTACTACGATAAAGTGGCGACCATTGGATGATTTTATGATAGTCGGGTGCTCTGATGGCGCTGTTTATGTATGGCAAATGGAAACTGGACATCTGGATCGGGTTTTGCATGGAATTATTGCGGAAGAAGTTTTGTTTGCTTGTAGTGATAATACTATTATTACTGGCGATGCTACTGCTGGTGGAGAACTTGGTCTTGCTAATCCTGCTGTTCATTTCTTTAGGTAAATTTTTTTACTATAAGGTAATTATTTGGAGATTATTTAGCTTGATAAGTGTCTAAATATTCGGCTCGAATATTTTTTTATCATGAAAAATTATTTTATTTTTTTTTCATTTCAAAAAAATTATAAAAAATGAATTTTTTGATTTTTTTTTTATTAAAATTTTTTAAATATCAATTATTAAAGTAGTATCACATTTTGGTAATTATTTTTAAATGGGGTCAACCCCATTTTGGGCCATAAATACGTGAAAAAAAAATAAAGAATTCGATAGCTTTTTTGCCTTCAAAAATTGGAAAAAATTTTGGCTCTCAAGTTTTTGGATAAAATTTCTATTTTATCTTTTTTTGATACATTTTTTTTTGAAAATTTGTTAAAGTTGTGATAATCAACTTTTTTTTTTTTTTTTTTTTTAAATTTTTAGCTTGATAAGTGTCTAAATATTCGGCTCGAATATTTTTTTATCATGAAAAATTATTTTATTTTTTTTTCATTTCAAAAAAATTATAAAAAATGAATTTTTTGATTTTTTTTTTATTAAAATTTTTTAAATATCAATTATTAAAGTAGTATCACATTTTGGTAATTATTTTTAAATGGGGTCAACCCCATTTTGGGCCATAAATACGTGAAAAAAAAATAAAGAATTCGATAGCTTTTTTGCCTTCAAAAATTGGAAAAAATTTTGGCTCTCAAGTTTTTGGATAAAATTTCTATTTTATCTTTTTTTGATACATTTTTTTTTGAAAATTTGTTAAAGTTGTGATAATCAACTTTTTTTTTTTTTTTTTTTTTTAATTGTTCATTTTTTTATGTATTAAAAAAAAATATATCAATAAAATCAAATAGAAATTTCGTTCAAAAAAATGAAAATTAAAATGGTTGACTGTACTTGTAAATATTTACCAACATTTTTTTTGAGTCACAAAAAATTGAATGAATTAGAACAAAACATTTTATAATTTGAAAAAATTTTTTAAATAAACAATTCGTAAATATAAAGAAAAAATGAAAATTTGTTAATAATTAAATTTTTTTTTTTGTCAAAAAACGATGGAGCAGGTAATTTTTATTACTTTGAGCTCAATTTATTTTCGCATCATATTTCTAACATAAAAAATTCCACAAATTAAAACAATAATTAAAAACCAACTTATTTTCACTAAAAATTACAGAGGACTAAGACATCGTAACTTGTCAGCTATCCGACATGCAACTCAACGAGGATTGCACCAACTGCAACAGCTCCATGGTGGGCATGGTGACCACCATGACAGTCAACTGAAAACTAAAGACTATCCACTAAACATCGAGGGATTCCGAGGAAACCCCAAGGACCCCGAAGGCCATATTTTGTTCTTCAACGTCGAAACGCTTATAGGTAGTTAACTGATACTTTTACTTTGCACCATTATGCACTCAATTAATTACTTGCAAAACTGAATGATGAATGATTAATAATGATAATATAAATAATATAATTAACAACTCTAAAAACTGGTGTCGGCGAATTTGGCCCTGTTTAAACAGTACAATTATTGAGCGACGAGTATGGCTCGATGTCTCCTGGATCATTAGAGGCACAGGGCTTAATTTCAGCCTCCGAGTACCAAAAAGTTGCGGCCCTCACTCAATCCGCGAGTCCTGACGCTCATAAAAAAATAGCAGGTAAGCCTGCATGCACTCGTGGGGCCAAAAATTTTAAATCCAGTCAAACTTTATACTCAAAATTAATAATTATTCAAGTGTCCTTACTTTATTAGGGTACCAGTAATATAATTGTCATCCTTGTATATTATTTTAGATTTTTTCGGCCGTGTCAAGGACAAGGCCGGTGACGTTGAAAAACTTTTAAAGGAGAAAGATCGCCATGGTATCGATTTATGTCGTTGATATTTAATGTTTTTTTTTGTTATAGACACCCTTGTTTGTTTTAATTACTAGAATTATATCGCACTAAACTTTTTATTGTTAATGTACCATAAAGCAAACTTAATTAAGGGTAAATTTTATTTTTATTTTTTTTTAATTAAATTACTTAATTATTTTTTGCTTTATAGTCTGTATTTTATATTTTTTTTTTTAGTTACCAAGCTTGATTCACTTTGGATAAAATAAAAATTATTTAATAAGTTTTTTTGGTAATTATTTTCAAGTGGGGCGAAACCTACTTTTGGCAATATCTAGGAGAATAATTGACATTTTTTAATGATTTTTTTTTATTCTATTAATGATTTATTTTATTTAAAAGTTGGAAAAAATTTTGGCTTTCATGTTTTTGGATAAAATTTCTATTATATCTTTTTTTGATTTTTTTTTATATATTTTTTTTTTATGTATTATTCAAAAAAAAATATATCAAAATTTTCAAAAAAAAATTTCTTTAAAAAAAATTAAAATTAAAATGGTAAACCCCACTTGTAAATAATTACCGTTTTTTTTTTTTAATTTAATATGCACTTGCTTGATTTTTCAGTTTGTCTATTTGAAGTAATATTATTTGAATAAGTATATTTAATTATAATAATAATAATATATTTTTTATCAGGAATTTTGGCTAAAATGAAAGAAGGAGCCGAGAATGTACACACTAAATTACAAGCTAAGGCTGAGAGTGTTGGCCTCAAGCCGTTAAATCTTGACGGTAAAGGTCAGCAAACTATTGAATTAGTTGTCAAGAATTATTTAGTGATATTAATATTAATATTTGTTCATATAATAATAATAATAATTTAGTTACGCATGGAGTCTTTTATTTGTTACTACAATTAATTATTTTTTGTCTAAACCATTTGTCTGCTTTTTTTTACTGCACAAATTTAATTACAGCCATCAACGCAGTAGACATCGTTGATTTAAAACACTGATTTGTTTTTTTTTTTTTAAGCACTTTTCTCCGTCACCAAATATCCTATCATACTCGTTAGCAGGCGCTGTAGTATTTTTGTTTTAATAATGTGATTTTGTTACTTTTTTATGATTTAATAAGTGTTATTTATTGTAAATAATAAAGAGGTAATTATTTAGGAGAAGGATGGAACAATGGGGACTCGAGAAATACCTTAAAACGGAATGGTAATTTCAATGAGCCTAATGCGACGATGGAAATAGCGCAATTACTGCTGAGTCTTCTTCATGCCTGGGGAATGGATCCAGATCTCGATCGAGTTTGTGAAAGTAAATTAGGATTATTACGACCTTTGGTACCTGTTTCTTTTGGTGTTATATGTAAATCAAGTAAGTATTTTTTTTTTTTTAATTAAAGTGTCGAAACGATTTTTAAATTTCAGTTTTTAATTAAGACAGATAGAATTTTATTGCAATTAAATTATTATGAAAAAAAATTTAATAAGAAAATTCCACATGCGAAAATTAAAAAAAAATTATTAGTGGAAATTTTTAAAAGCATTTTCTTTATTTTAATTAATTTGTTATAAAAATTAAGAAAATTGATAGTTAATAAATAATAACAAATTTTATTTTCTTTCACATAACTAATGAAGAAAAAAATAGATTTTTGAACAAAGTTTGCTTTTCTGGATCCGAAAGTAAAATTTCAAATTTAATAGAAAATTTCTTTTTTTATCTTAATATTATTAAAAACTACCAAAATTAATTATATTTATTTAGAAGTCGCTAATGACCTAGCTGTTAAAAAATGACTTAAAATAAAATAAATCAATAATAATAATAATTATTATATTTATTATTTAAATTGCTTAGATTTTGTATCCAAAATTTAACTTGAAGTTTTATTTTTACTTTCTAAATTAATTTTGTCTTAATTTTAAATTTACAGTTTTAAATAAGCTTCACAAAAACTTCACAAAATTTTTTTAATTTGTCTAAAAAAAAAATCTATCATTCTAAATTCAAATAATTCATCACAAAGAAATTAATATCATTATTCACTGCCTTGACGTCATTTTTTGATAATACTGTAATTATCAGATATTTGTCAATTATTTAGATTTTTCTAACAATTAAATTATTGTGAAAAAATGACAATAAAAAAATTCTTGATCTAGAAATTGAAAAAAAATTACAAGTGCAATTTTTCTTTAATTACTTTTTTTTAATAAAAATAAAAAAAATTATGATGTCTGCTAATTTCAGTGTCATTTTTTGATTAAATGACACCCAAAAACAGTTCATGTTCTTTCAAATAAACTTATTGTTCATTAAATCACTAAGAATTGTTAAAATTTACTTATTGTCATAAAAAAAGGCAAAAGCAAATTTTATAAGTTCAAATTAGATATTTTGGACTTTTTTTTTTTTAAACAAGTAAAGAAAAATTTTTTTCTGTCGACCTTTATTCTGCCCAATTTTAAAACACAGTAACTAACAATCTAAACACTTTTCATAATTTTTCTTATTAAAAAAAAAAAGTTTGCTCTTCCAATTGTTAAAAAATTTGATTCATAAATAAAAAATCCTTGAATATAAATATTAAAAAAAAAAAATACTTGAAATTCAGGTCAAAAATTTATAAGAACTGCAGCAATACTAAAAAAATCATTGTGCTTTAAAATTGGGCAGCTGAATTATTTAATCAATAAATTGAAAAGAAAATTAAATTAAAAAAAAAATGAATTATCTCCAGGCTACATGACTTTGCTATTACCAACATGGCACCAACAACTAGACCTAAAAATCGAGCCTACACAATTAGAACAACGTCTGCCAATCGAATTAGTCCGCCAAGACCGTCTAACAAAAGCATTTACCGCCCGCGCGCACTGGGAACTATCAACCACACTAACATCAAACCACCTGCTAACAGTAGTCGCGTTAGCGAACACCCTGATGTCAATGAACAACGCGACATTTGTACCAGAACAGGAGCGTAACCGCAAAATGCACCGTCCAGGGAACCGCGCGGGAGTTAACTGGAACAAAGCCGAGGAAGAAAACGAAGAAATGTACACAGTCCAGCAGGCCCAAATAAAGCAAGGCTGGTCCCTATTAGCAACCCTTCACTGCGTCCTTTTACCCGACAAAGTAGCAGCCCTAGGAGGAGTCAAGACCTTCAAGCGGCCTTTGGTAGAGATGATGGCCTGTCGGTGGCAGGACCAGTGCCTGGAACTCCGAGAAGCTGCCCAGGCGCTTCTGCTAGCCGAGCTGGGCAGATTGGGTCCCAAGGGGAGAAAATCTCTGGTGGATTACTGGGCACAGTACCTGCCCAAGGACCCTCCCAAAGAATCTGCTCCCCAGCAGCAGAACCACAGTCACAGTCCTTCATCTTCCAGTCCCGTGCCTAACTCCGACAGCAAGAAGAGCGACTCCGAGTCTAATCATGAAGGAAATCATGCTGATGAGATTTGCAACTCGCGCAGACCAAACGAGGCTGAGATCAAGACCAAGGAGCACACTGCGATAGTATTATTGGGAGTAATTGGCGCAGAGTTTGGTCAGAATGTCTCGACGACGGGGAACCAACGTCGTGATGGTGAAAGAAGAAAGAGTTCTGTTGTTGAAGGCTTCGGAATTGGAAATAACAACTTAGCAAGATTGACCAGCATGTCGTTGATGCGTCTGCTGTTGGACCCTCGTCAGTTTAACCAGCAAACTCACTCGTCCCTTCGTCGAGCTGCTATTGATTTAATTGGTCGTGGGTTCACTGTTTGGGAACCTTATCTTGATATCTCCAAGGTGCTTCTAGGTCTTCTAGAAATGTGCTGCGACGCTGATAAATTGGTGCCCAGTATGACCTACGGACTGCCTTTGACTCCTCAAGCTGACACTTGTCGCACAGCGAGGCATGCTTTGACTCTCATTGCCACTGCTCGGCCCGCTGCATTCATCACGACGATGGCTCGAGAAGTCGCGAGGTTCAATGCTATCCAGCAGAATTCCCAGACGCTTAATGTCAATGTTAATTCTAACATCCTGGCAAGGGCCAAGCCGGAGATTCTGAGGATTGTTGAGCAGCTGATAGATAAAATGCAGAGCGAGATGAGCGACTTGTTGGTTGAAGTGATGGATATTATTCTGCACTGTCTTGACCCAGGTCACTTGAAGACCAAACCACTTAACGAAGTTTTCCCGGCTGTTTGCAGATTTAATCAAGTATTGATTTTTTTATTCAGAGGCTATTAATATTGTTTTGAAGGATCATTTTTATTTATTGTCTATATTGATTACAGGTCAGTCACTGCTCAGCTTCACGTCGAATAGCCGTCGGCGGTCGGGTAGGTCAATTAGCGCTCTACGAATTAAGGGGTACCGTTAAATGTCAAACGGTGTCTGCTCATCAAGCTTCTGTCACGGCGCTGGCGTTCTCACCCGAGGGAAAATTTTTAGTCAGTTATTCTTGCACGGAAAATAAATTATGCTTCTGGCAGGTAATTATCATATTCATTTTTTTTATTTTATTTTATTCTATTAAGCTATGATTGCTGCAGTAGAGGTCATTTTTGTTAATTTGTTTTTACTAAGTAAGGTACTCTAGGTAAGTTAAGATACATTAGTCATGGGTATCAATCAAGGTATTGATCCCATTAAAGATTGACTGATACAGGAAATTTTCAAGGTTTCATATTCTTACCTATAGTCAATTTATTATAATTATTTTAGGCTGCATTCGAAAATGCTCTATCTCTAAATGCATAATTAAGAAATGGCCATGTATCATGTGAACTATTGACATTTTTAAAGATATAAGCTCATCCCGACATTACACTCATCGGGACCTTTCATTTGAGTACCCACATCAATTTTTCATATATTTATATATATATTATATATATGTATATATGAAAAATATATCAAAATGCATGTGGGTACTCAAATGAAAGCTCTCGCTAAGTGTAACATCGGGATGAGCTTATATCTTTAAAAACATCAATAGTTGAGAAAGTACAGTGCAATTTAACATAATTAAGAAATGACCTTTTATCTTGTGAAATATTGACATTTTTTAAGATATAAGCTCATCCCGACGATATACTCATCAAGAACTTTCATTTGAGTACCCACATGCATTTTGATATATTTTTCATATATACATATATATATATAATATATATAAATATATGAAAAATTGATGTTGGTACTCAAATGAAAGTTCTTGATGAGTGTAACATCGGGATGAGCTTATATCTTTAAAAACGTCAATATTTAAGACAGTACAATGTAATTTAACAAAAGTCATTATTTAATAAAAAAAAAAGTTGCTATTTTTATTTCATCCAGCAATCATTAAAATTTATTTTGAATTATTATATTTTACAGCAAACAAGTAGCGGAATGTTCGGATTAGGAAATTCTCAAACCCGCTGCGTCAAATCATACAGTACAGCACCAATGAATGATGTCACGAGATTAAATCCAATGCGGCTGGCCCGTTTGATTTGGATTAACAACCGTACTGTTACATTGATGCTCGCGGATGGTTCAGAAACACGCTTTAATGTTTAAAAAAAAAATATATAAATATAAATATAAATCTAGATACAATAAAAAAAAAATAATAGAAGAATTTAAAATTCACAGAGAAGCATTGAAGGTAGTTCAATAATTTCCATAATGTATTTTATTTTTTAATTAATTTATATACTATTTAATTTTTGTTTTATCCTCACCCACAATAGGACAATCGTAGATAGTAAAATTGCAAGCGCTATTTATAGTTTATGTTAAAAAAATCTGAATAAATTTAAATATTAATGCCAAATACTTTGCGCACGATATCGCTGATATTTTAATAATTATAATTATTGATAATAATAATAATAATAAAGAGAAAAAAAGTAACAGATTTTATTGAGTTAGCGAATGAAAATTTCTATATGAGTGGATTCAGTGTGAATTAATATACATACCGCACTGTGAATGATAATTAAATTATTAATAGTAGCTAAAAATATATGTGACTTGGGATCATAATTAACAGATATACGAAGACGCTTTTCTGTAATAATATATCTTTGCAGACGACGTTTATTTATGAAAAATGCATGGGTAACTTCATTACTTTTCCATCTTAATCAGTAAATGATCTCTCGTCGTCTTTCTCATGTTAAATATTTTAAATAAAAATCCGCCATTTATTAACGAGTCATGTGATTATTAATAAATATTGTTATCTGAAAAAGGAATCCAATGATTAATAATGTAAATTTAATTTAATTAACTGTAATGAGTAAGTGAGTGAGTGAATGAGTGAATGACTGGAGGCTTTGAGTGCTAATTAATGTGATTGAAGTTATAGTCAAATTGAGCGCGGGTTCAATTTATTAATTATTTGATAATAATTGGTATGAAACACGCTTCACTGTAAAATATTTAATTAAATAATAAATAATTGAATTGTTATATACAAATATGTAAACTTTTAATGAGTGGTTCGTCTTGATAAATATATATATACATAATAATATAAATAAAATAAAAATTTCAATATTTAAAGAAAGTAACCAATCATGTTAATTATTATAAATTATGATATTGAATGAATTAGAGTAATTGAAAAAAAAAATTAAAGATTTAAATATTTAATTGTATAAGAATTATTGTATGTAATGTTGATTGAATATAATTACATTTAAAGTACTGGTCTTTTTTTATTTAATTTTTTATGGTTAATTATTGGTGTGTATAATTATAATTAGGGGGATATTTATTTAAATTAAAATGCAAAGAGGGTTGACAGGAATAAAAGTTTTAAATAAATGTTTACACGGGAACTGTTGATTATTTTGATCGGAAAAATAAAATTATTATAATCTAGTGAATTTTCACGGTTTTAAATTTATTAAGTAGTTTGAATTGTAGGCAGTAAGTGATGTATCATGTATTAAATGATTTTATGTACAAGGGTTTCTCTCCCCTTGACTTTATTTATATCCATTATAGCGTATTAGCGGTGAGAGGGAATCGCGTATTTGAATCACACGTGAATTATATATGAGTGACGGTAATTCATTCATATGGGTAGACGAAAATCAAAGGGCGGGAATTTTGTTAAAATTATTTTGGGAGATTTTTAATTTATTTTTTTTTTTTTCTATTTATATTTGTAAGAATATTAATAACATATCTTTTAAGTAAAAATCAAATCAGGTAATTAAAATCTTTGAATTTTTCTATTGAATTTTAATTTAAAGAAGAAATGTATCAAAAATTAATAATAATTATCTTTATAGCTAAAGCTAATTTAAAAAAATGATTTATTATTATTATTACTATTTTTTTTTTTAATAAAAAAAAAAAACTATTATAAATTAATAACAATAATAATAAGTTGAGTTTTAAAAATTTTTGTAAAAAAAAATTAAATGATAAAATCACCAGAAATTTTCATTTTAATGATATTAATAATTATTATCATTGTTATTATTGAAAATATATGTCAAAATAACTATAATTTGGATTTTAAAAAATTTAATGATAAAGCTTCTAAAAATTTTTATTTTAATTAAAGAAGAATATTTTCATAAGAAGAAATCTGAATTTATCCACATTTGATAATAATTATTATTATTATTACTAATTTTTTTAGTTTATTTTGAATAAAAATTATTTAATAAAATAAAACCTTTATAAATTAATAACAATAACAATAATAATAAGTTGAGTTTTAAAAATTTTTGTAAAAAAAATCAGAAAATTTTATTTTAATTAAAAAAGAATATTCTTATCAGAAGAAATCTGAAATTATTTTTATTCAACAATTTATTTTAATAATAATAATAATTATCATTGTTATTATTGAAAATATATGTCAAAATAATTATAATTTAGATTTTAAAAAATTTTGTAAAAAAATTTAATGATAGAGCTTCTAAAAATTTTTATTTTAATTAAAGAAGAATATTTTCATAAGAAGAAATCTGAATTTATCTTCATTTAATGATTCATTGTTATTATTATTATTATATAAATTTCTTACATTCGATTATTAGTAGTATTGAAAAAAAAAAAAAAAAAAAAAAATATTAAAAGAGTAGTTTGCTTACATGAATATCTGATGACTAGCCAGTGGAATTTGGAAGCTACAACGGTGTCATGTGTTAACATCAGAACATCAAGACGCGACACAGTTGTCTGGCCGACAGAATAAGTAATACATCCGAGGATGAGAATGGGAAATAAAGTTTTAAGTTTAAAAATGTTAAATGTACATAAGTAGATACTGCGACAATGACAGACAGATACAGATGCGTGTGGCTACTGGTAGCATTTTCGTATGCAGACAACGTGTCTCTTTGCGGCGGTGACGGCGACACCAAAGACTCATCATGTGATCCATACTATAGTTTGTAATCTGTAATAATAACAACAGCATCAATATCGACAACAATCATCATCATTATCATCATCATCATCATCATCATCATCATCATCATCAATAAGAGGATATTGCGAAACTAAGCTCTAAATTAATTCAATCATTCACAACCGGATTATTATTAATTTTAATTAATTCAATTAAAGTAGTGACTAATTATAATTACAATAAAATCGATCGATTCTTGGCTATCGGTTGATAAAATTGTCGACAACTGATTAATTAATCTGGTATTTGAGATGTTTAATTATTCATCGATTCCAATTCAACGTGTAATTATTGACTAATCTATTTATAAGTAACCCGTACCGTCTAAATGATTTTGAATAATTTAATTATTTGACCAATTAATCGGAACTTTTGTTATTTATTGTGAGGGTAATAGAACATTTATACCTTATGTCAAATGTCACTTAATTTTTTAAATAAAATTTTTAATTTTACAGAAAATAACTTTAACAAAAATCAAAAATATTTATTACAATAATTATTTAGGTATCAAAATTTTTTAATTTTCCAAAAAAAAAAAGATCAATCAAAATGTCCTAATTTTTTAATTTAAAAGAAATCAATCAAAATATTTCATTCAAAAGTTAGTAAACCAAAGATTGAACAATGCAAAATATTCATGCGTAAAATGTAAATATCAATATAAAAAACATATACCTTTTCACTTCACTTTAGTGTAACAAGTGTAAATTAAAATTTGACAGTTTTTTATTATCAACTCAAATTGATCATTCGTCTGTAATAGAAAAAAAAAAAAATAAAATATTGTTTACAATTAATTTTATACACATTAATGAGTAGCAAGTAGTAGTCAATAATTAAGATATGACATCGTGTCTTGTGAAATATTGACATTTTTAAAGATATAAGCTCACCCCGATGTTACACTCATCAAGACCTTTCATTTGAGTACCCACATCAATTTTTCATATATTTTCATATATATATGTATATATGAAAAATATATCAAAAATGCATGTGGGTACTCAAATGAAAGCTCTCGATGAGTGTAACACCAGAATGAGTTTATTTTTTAAAAAATGTCACTAATTAAGAAATTACCTTGTATCTTGTGAACTATTGACATTTTTAAAGATATAAGCTCATCCCGACATTACACTCATTGAGACCTTTCATTTGAGTACCCACATCAATTTTTCATATATTTATATAAATCGTATATATGTATATATGAAAAATATACCAAAA